ATCTCTTTCAAAACTTGCCAATACTGCTCTCAGTGGATTTTTTTTTTTTTTTTTTTTAAAAAAGCTGGAATCAGTTATTTTAGATTTTGTATGGGGATATAAAAAACACAGATTATCTAAAAAACATCTGTTCAGGCCCACTCTCGACGGTGGTCTGGGTCTCCCAGTATTCAAAGATTACTATTGGGCAGCAAATATTAAAGCACTGGTCTACTGGCAGCGGGGTTCCCCAGAATATGAACCACTTAACTCTGTTCCTCTCTGGATAAAATTAGAGCTTATGTCTTTAATGAAACCATATGTTTCTTTGTCCTCTTTACTTTTTACTAATCATGTTACTGCTATTAAATCTGTAAGTCACAGCTTTGTCATCCGAAACTCTTTGAAGATTCTTACTCAAATTAAAAGTACCTACAAAGTTCCTAATATTTCATTTCACAGATTTGCTATAATCATGCTTTTACTCCAGCCTTGCTAGACAATACATTTGTTTTATGGTGGGCAAAAGGGCTTAAGTGCATAAAGGATCTTTACATAGAAAATAAGTTTGCATCCTTTGCTCAATTAAGTCAAAAATACAATTTACCTCATTCTAATTTTTTTCGTTACATGCAACTTCTTCTCCAACTTTGAGAATATTGGTGAAAGTCAGAATTTTTTGGAATTGCTCTTTCTTCCACCAGAGAGCAAGAAGCTTATCACTAAATTTGTGAATTTTTTCTCTAAGGACTTTGTTTCTGTTTTCGGTATCAAGAAGGCTTGGGAGAGGGAAATAAATGCTGTACTATCTGATAAAACATGGAGAACTGCACTTTCTCGTATTCATGGTTGTTCAATTAATAGCAGACACGGGTTAATGCAGTTTAAAGTGATTCATCGTTTTCATTATTCTAAAGTTAAGTCACATAAATTTTATCCTTCTGTGTCTCCACTCTGTGATAAATGTAAATTGAATGAGGGTACCTTGTTGCATTCATTCTGGGGCTGTCCATTAATTCAACCATTTTGGTCGAAAATCTTTTCTTTGTTTTCTGGAGTTTACAGCAGGAATCTCTCCCCCGACAGAGACCTAGCTCTTTTTGGTTGTTCAGAGGACTCTTTAATTCTTCCTTCATGTATCCAGGATGCTCTTCTGGTTGGAATGGTGTTGGCAAAAAAGACCTATCCTTAAAGACTGGAAGACACTAACTCCGCCATGTTTCAGTAACTGGCTGCATGAACTTATTTCTGTTTTACATCTGGAGAAACTGCGATTCAATAATGCAAAAGGCCAACAAAAATGGGAAAAATTGTTAAAATATCTTGACTTAAACTGATTGCACCTAGGCCTGCATTTCGTCGTTGACTGGCATTTGATTTCTGTTGTTTTTGTGTTTTCTTAATATGGGCAATATAACTATGTGTCCTTGAGGACGACTCCAATCGAATTTCTCTTATGTGTGTATCTTTTTTTTTTTTATCTATTATTCGTATCCCACTCGCCCTGTGTGTGTGCGTGTGAAAGCGTGAGTGTATGCTGGGTTATGTTAGGTTGGGGTATAGATATATATTTTTTTATCTTCTTTTTTTGGTGGATGTGTATATAGAAAATCCAATGAAAACAATTATTAAAAAAAAGTGATTTGTTCGCATAAATAAAAATAATAAGGTCCTCGTGGTGTTCAGTGCTTGGGCTCTAAATATGATTAAGGTATTAGTGAGATTAAATAATATTGTGCATATCTTATAAATCATGGGGTGAAATGTGGCACATATCAAATTAAACACCAGTGAAATGGAGGTGTTTATTAATTCATCGCACTTGATGCCAAACATCACATCAGGTTCAGAACATTTCACCAATCAAATTAATATCAGACATCTGTTCCCCATACATTATGAACCGCAGAAGTCACAACTCTGATGTTCTGTGGGATGGTCCTGGAACCTCTGGAAGTCCTTGGCAGCTGCACCACTGCACCCCATTGAATCCTCAAACAGCTTTCCATCCAAACACCTTTGGAATAACAGCATGCACTTTGTAACTCTGCTGATGATTTATGTTGCTCTGAATGTAAATGAAGTGGCGTAAAGCCTTCAAAATTCTGGCACCTCTCTCTCCTTGGAAACATTTCCGTATGAGCACAGCTGTGTTTCAAACTGTTTATGTTAAGCAGATACCTGCAGAAAATCTTTAAAGATTTATAAGGCTGCCTCAAAATTGTAGTTTTTCTAAACTCTAAGTAAAATAACCCGTAAAGTTTGGAATAGGAAAAAAGATTAGGCTGTTTGAATATTCTTTTCAAACAGGTCTCGTGTGATAAGAAAATGTATATTTGTTTAAGTTATCGTAACTCATAAAATTTTAATCAGTTAGGGACTGTACTTTATTTATCAGAGTCAGGGGGGTGGCTGAGGTTTGACAGGTCATGAGCCTCCCTGGAGCTGCAAATATTTTTCTCTGAACCTCCCTGAGTGTCAGGGGGAAATGCGTGACCCTGCCTCCACCATAAATAACAATATTTCAGAGTTTCTGACCATAATAAATTTATGATTTTGGATATTTCTTTTAAAGGAATCATGCCGTTCAAACACACTTCCCAGCCAACATCTGTATGTGGGGCCCATGTGGGCAGTAAATGGGCTGAAAATGGGCCCCACATGGGTCGTGCTGGGGCTAACAGGGTACAAAGTAGGTATGGGTCCAAAATGGGCATCTTATCTGGGGCCCAAGTGGATAAATGTCATGGGGGCAAAATGGAAACCGTCAGTCCCATATGGGGCCCATTTTTCAGCCCATTTACTACCTAGAGCACAGCTCGGGCCACAACTCAACGTGAGTCCGAGTCAGTTATAACGGAGCCCCGTCCGACTGCGACATGACATACTTATTGTTATCGTGGTTACAGCTTGTCTGTTTACCGTCATCACATATAGACAGTGTGTAAATGACCATCAAAAGGCTGCTGTTACGCAGCACAGCACGCACAGTCAATTGGAGCGGAGCCTGTGTTGCATTCAGGCATTGTCACGTAAATAACAAATTCCAGCACTTGAATAGGCCATGGCACAACACAGCAGCATGTCATGTGGGCAGAACCTGAACCCAATCCAGCCAAAATTTCTGATTTGTTATCTGAACACAGCCCAGCCTGTCGGATTCCGACTCGAGTCAGGTATCCACACTCTCCTGCAAAGGACTCAGCCTATATGGGGTGCGCACGCTACCTGTTGAGCTAGAGGTTGCACCAGGGCTGATCATATTCCAGTCTATGGGTACACTGTAAGAGATGATTGATTGAATTGATTTTTCTATTTACCACCCCAACAAGCTCCACCGATTAAATGGTCATGTTTTAGTTTGAGGTTACAATCTGACAGAGCAGCAGCAGCAAGAAGGACACACACAGGAAGGTGACAGATCAATGATATGAATCTGACTTCATATCAATTCAAACAATAGCAACAAACATATTTAGAGGTCATCAATTTAACTCAAAATGTTGCATTTAAAGAAATACTTCACCCCATAAATGACCGGCTGTGTATCAGTTACTCACCCTGTGTTACATTGACTTCATGAAGTAAACTTTTTCTCCCATGCCTCCATGATGAACCAGGAATCCATAAACTGGGAAAATTCTCTATGAACTGAAGCCACAGCGTCCACAAGCAGCAAAACTACATCCAGGAATACAGCTGAAAGGTTCAGTTTTAGTCTCATATGGCAAGCGTACCTTCTTCTGTAGGTTAGGAGAGTCTTCCACATGCCTCTTGCTGAACTCCAAACATGTACTTATTTCTTTCTTTAAGCAATGGCTTTTTTCTGGACTTTCTTCCACAGAGCTCTGTGGAGTTGTCAGCTTAGACTGGTCCTTTGGTCAGATCCTCCAGTCTCTGCTGTGGACCCTTCCAGCTCCCTCAGAGTTCTCTTTGGACTCTTTGTTGTTTGATTAATGTCCTCCTCGACTGATCCGTGAGGTGTGTGGTGCCACATTCTTCTCATTCTGGTTGTATTAATGAATTTAATGGTGCTTTGGGGGAAGTTTAAAGTTTCCGATATTTTCTTCATAACCCAACCCTGATCTGTACTTCTCCAGAACTGTCTCTGACCTGTTTGGAGAGATCCTTGGTCTTTATGGTGCCACGTGCTTGGTGGTGCTGCAGACTCTGTTGCCTTTCAGAACAGGTGTGTATAAACTAAGGTCATGTGACTCTTAGATTGAACACAGCTGGACTCCATTTAACTAATTAAGGGACTTTGAAAGGTAATTGATAACATCAGGTCTTATTTAAAGGCTTCATTGCAACAAAGGTGAATACATAATATATATGTAATATATTTCACCTCACCGATATGACTATTTTGTGTAGGTCCATTAGAAAACATTAGCAACTACACACAAACATCCAAATAAAATCTATAGGTTTCAGTACAACAAAACTGGGGCGAATACTTCTAAAGTTTTCACATTGTTGTTATCAGTATGTACTCTTAGTTTTAGATTTTGAAGGCTTTAACAAAATTTCAGTTGAAGTTGTGAATTATTATCTGGAATGAGCCTGTTTTCTAGCAGAAGGGAAATTTTAAAGTTAAAAAGCACATCAAAATATGTTGATCTATCCTTTAAAAGATAATGTTTCACCCCAGAAACAGAAGTAGTGTGTTAAGAAGTTCTAATTTAAAGGTTTTTTTTAGGTATATCTACACGTCAATGGTCAATATCAGCATTAAAATGAAATATCATAATTGCCCAACATGCTTTTTCTAAATTTGCACAATGAATAAATATCCCATACACTGAAAAGTATTATATTTCATGTCTCCATCTGCTGGTGGGCCATTATGATTAGAGTATGCATGACCAGTATGATGTTAATTCCACCACAGAAAAGACGTCATGATGACTAAAATTAGGTATCAATATCGTGCATCTCTAGTTGTTTTTTTTGTAGGAATTGTTTTGTCCCACTTCTCAGGAATGGATGATCAGTAAGGTCAAAGGTCAGGACAACACAGCTGGGGTTATATTATCTTTATTATTGTCCATTCGCACTAGCATACAGGTCATATCCAAGGTCCATTGTCATTCCATCTGGAAGAAGCTGGATACGCAGGGCGACTGACCCTTTTGTAAAAACTTTGGTCTGGCTCGCACTAGTGAATGTAACACAACACTAATCTATACACAATGACATGCTTAGCGACTGGCCATTAGGAAGGCGCACTGCAGCAGCAAAACCTTCGATGAGAAGTTCACGTCACGACACGGCACGAGATGAGTGACTAATTACCTCGAGATTACTGCCCTGGAAATGAGGAGTAAAGGTTTCAGCGCTTTTCATTCAAATACACAGTTTTCACAGGCAAACTATAAATCACAGCGTACAGATTCAAACATTCAGAGTATCATCAGTACATCAACAAATCCTAAAGTAAGAACAAATTTAAGTATGAACGTGTGGGGGAAAAACAATCAGTGACTGTGATCAGATACAAATGTTTAACAGTCTACACTTGCATATCAGTGCCCTTCGCCAAGAAGAGTCTCTCCACGTTGGTGATAAAAAGCAAACAAAATAACTTCCTGTGTGGCTGCAATAGTTTCAATAACTCCCTTTTCTTCTACTCATACAAATAAAAAATAAATATGATGATACATTCATGAAATCCACACACACTGTGACAATCTTATGTAGAACAAACTGAAACATTTAAATAATCTGTTTAAATATATATTAAATTAAATTAAAAAAAAACACAAGCTGCGTCTGACTAGGAACCAATAATTGTACAAAACATGCAGTGCTTGTTGCCAATACTAACGTCAGTTTCAATACTGCTGTGAAATCCCCCCGGGACAGACTTCAGCAGAAAAGGTATGCAGCAATCCTCTGGACAGAGGTGAGGGCGAGAGGATTTACATTCTGACTAGATTCAGATATGCTCGTAAGGAAAGCAAAGATAGTACTCTGACAGTGTAGCAGTGAGCAGTGGAATATTCAAAGTCGTCGGCAGACACTCATCTCTGGATGCTGTACACAGTGAGGTGAGTGTGTGCATGTGTGTGTGTGAGCCTGTGTGTGTGAAAGCATGCGTGATGGATTTGTCCCTCCGTGCTGCATTTCTACCCCTGGGTTTATTTCATTTCAAATCCCCTTCGTCGCCCTGGATGGTCTTTTTGATGCGCAGCAGGAGGGTTGTGTGCCACTGGTCCAGACGTGAGATCGAGTCGAACTCCTTTACCTGCAGGCGGACAGGAGACACAGAGATAAGGTTTATTTCTCAAATTAGGATTAAAACCGGACTGTTCTGCTCATTTATCTTTATTTGTTACATATTACTGGTTATTTTCAGATGAAACTACACAATTCAATTAAAGGGTAACTTTGGTATTTTATAACCTGGACCCTATTTCCCCATGTTTGTGTGTCTTAAGTGACAGTTTCTAAAACTGATCCATCATTGAGCGAGAGGGCCGCAGCCAGCAGCAGCTAAAAACCTTCAGTTCCGGTCCACTAAAAGTTCTTGGTTTTGCCACTAACTGGCTCAGATTATTATTTGAAGTGTCTGACAACATTATGGAAAGGATCCCTACAAAGATAGACCTTTTTCGTTTATTTTGTTTAATCAGAAACAGCCCTGAAATAGCCAATGCCAATGTCTTTCTCTGTAGGATCATTTTCATAGTGTTGTCAGAGACAGTGGATATACATCAACAGTGCACAAATACTCCAAGAGGTTACGCTGCAGCTTGTTGTATGCCTCCACGAACCAGTCAAGTTACGGTTTACATCCCTGGCAGTCCAGACTCATATGTAGCCATGACAGTCGACAATGCTTCAAAAAATTGCTGCAATTGCTGCAAAAAGCTACAGATTCTAAAACATGGATCCATCACACACAGAAGATCTATACAATCAGCACAGTTTCAAGGTGGACACCTAAGATTAGTGTCATCAATTCAGTATCTGACCAAATGTCTCCCCTCCCGAGATATGACGTTAAATAATGGCCTGGAAAATATTTTGCAGAATATTATGATGTCACAGCGAAGCTGACCTTTGACCTTTTGGATATAAAATGTCATGACTTTATTATTTTATCTTGTTAGGCATTTGTGTGAAGTTTTGTCATAATTAGCATATGAAGTCACACTGACCTTAACCTTTGACCTTCAACCAAAAAATTCAAATCAGCGTATTCTTCATACTAAGTGGATGTTTGTGCCAAATATGCACAAATTCCCTTACAGTGTTCCTGAGATATTGCATTCACAAAAATGAGACTGACTGGATCACAGAGACCTTGACTTTTGACCTATGACCACCACAATCTAATCACTTCATCTTTGAGTCCAAGTGGACGTTTGTGCCAAATTTGAAGAAATTCCCTTGCGGCATTCTTGAGCTATTGTGTCCACGAGGATGGGAAGGACAGACATACAGATGGGTGGACAACCTGAAAACATAATGCCAACATCCACGGCTATTGCCGTCGTGGAGGCATTAAAACATGATTTGTAAGGTCACAGTGACCTTGACCTATGACCACCAAATTATAATCAGTTCATTCTTGAGCCCAAGTGGACGTTTTTGCCAAATTTGGAGAAAGGTGTTTGTGAGACATCAAGTTCATAAGAGTGAGATGGATAAGGTCACAGTGACTTTTGACCACTAAAGTTTCATCAGTTTATTGTTGAATCCAAGTGCACGTTTGTGCCATCTTTGAAGATATTCCCTCAAGGCCTTCTCCAGAAATCATGTTCAAAAGAATGGGACAGATGTACAACCCAAAAACAAGAAAACAGGGTCCACATTGAAGAACACCAAAGTTATCCTTTAAGTTCAGTTTCTACCATCAGTACTGCGCATGTATAAACTAACACACCTGTTAAAATTGTCATGCATTTTTTCAAAACTTTGACATGAAAACCGTACTGTACACACTGCAGATGAGGACTCTTCACTGACTTTGAGTTAACTTTGAAAACTCCTTTAGGAGCTCAGCTATATATGGATGCACTCCATCAGTCTGTACCAGTTCCATATAAACACACAGTCCTGGGAGACTGACTGGATACCTGAGATCTAGCTTTCAACTTCAGCACACATGGGATCTGACAAAACTACAAGAGCTGGAGCAGAGGGATTCCTGCGCTCACCAAAGGCCTTGTTTAAAAACTTGAGAACTTTTTTCAGGGTATACAAAACTTACCGCTTCTGTGAAAGCTTCGCTGTTCTGTTCCTCATGAGCCTCAAGAAGTTTCTATTAAGACAAAAATAAATGTAGGTTACTCACAGAAACTGAATAGATTAAGGGGCGAAAAGTACGCCATCAGATTCCTCAGGGTTCTTAGCAGTGAGTTACCTTCAACAGTTTGCATTCTCGAGAGTCAGAGAAAGCTGGGAACATCTCCTCGTATTTTTCAACAGCAATCTGTGGAGACATGACAACGTGTTAGACTTCTACCACAACTTCCTGTCCCAGATCCTGAGGCTGAACCTCAAATGTACGAACTCACCTTAGCGTTGAGCTCGTCTACAATGAAATGGCAAAGGGAGGCTTTGAAGAAATACTCTTTGGCGCTGTATTTCAGCAACGGGTTGTCCATCGTGTTGGCTCCGACCTATATACACCCACATCATGTTAGAAATGTCAGCATCAGCTAATCAGTGCTGAGGGAGAAAGTGCAAGCATGACATGCAAACACAAGAGGTGCACACCTGCTCGTAGATCTCAATAGCCTTCTGGTACTGCTCCAGCTGAGCACAGTAAGCCCCCACCTTCAGCAGACACTTGTTGGCAGAACTAAAGGGAAATTGCAGAACACATTCAATACAACAGGCTCTAAGAGCTGTATATCTGAAGTATGTGATATAATTCATCCATTATTTCAAAAGTTTTTATAGAGCATGTGACACCAGAAAATGAAATGGTGAATCAAGAACAGAGATGTGACAGAAGCTCTGACACACTCAAATGTTGGAGCGACGCCATCGCAGCACACACACGTTTCCCGGGCGCCTATATTTCAGGGCAGGATGGCTGCATCCTGAGATAAACACAACTTTTGGAACGTAGCTGCACGCACTGCATGTCATGTGACGAGGAACAACCAATCACAGCCTGCAGATATCTTTCCCTTCTTCCATAAACATGTAGGAGAAGTTGATTATTTTAGTGCAGGGCTACCCAGAGCTTTACATTTGTTGCACGAAGAATAGGCCAACACATAAACAATGCCTGGAAGAAGATCAGCTCTGCACTCATGATTCTGGTAAATTGGTTATGATACAGTGCTGGTTTTGGTCGCCTAGCAACATCAGACGCAACCTGCCTCGGTGCCCTTGAAATTTGGTACAGACTAGGCACAAAGGAAAGTGCCCAATGCCAGACCTCGAGCTTTCCAGGCTGGTGCAGATTCTCTGATTCCCTGATTCTCAGGGCAGCCCTACTGTTCACATTCATGTTTAAAGTGACCAATTTCCGACATCAGTGTGAACGGATCGCTGCCCTGAAATGCCTCACATGCAACCAATAATGTCACACACACGCACGTTGGAACAACGACAAAAAACATCACATTTGTGAGACAATTAATTATATAGCGGTGCAAGCTTCTTTTCCCAAATTATTTGCAACAGAAGTAGGATGAAAATTCATCATATTTTGAGGAGGTGACAGCTCATTGTTCTAATAGGCGTTCATCTTTGTGCATAATAATTAGCCATGTGCTTCTGCTGTTTTTTAAGCACTGGGCATTAGTTTTCAGGGCTGTTGTACAAATGGGTTTTTGGTCCAATGGGGGATTTTTCACACCATTAAGGCTTTGGGATTATGGGCTGTCTGAGCAACGACATGAGGGCAAGAAGATGTAGGAACGCAAAAGCCATAGCCAAAACTTTATTGGTAACTATTGCTGGTAGTTCTGTGGAGAGAGAGGTGTGGGTGTGAGGGGACTCAGGAGTGGTGGGGCCGCAATGTAAAGGTTTTATGGAGGAACAGTTCCTCCAAAACTTAAGGGCGACTGGGGCAACATACTGCAGCAATGTACGGCTATACAGGCCACTGTATTTTCAACAGACCACTCTGACACTACATGGTGAGTGATCTGCGCCTGCACTGAAGTATGATGTGGGAAAACTATCAATGTCACAGCAGTCGTACAGCCAGATATCGGATAAAGATCAGATTAAGGACCATGTATGAAAACAGCCCAGATCTCGAAATGATCTGATCTGTGTCACATGGGAGCAAATAAATCTGATTTGGGCCCCATTTCTTTGTAATGTGAATGTAACACAGATTTTAGAGCTGGAAAAAGACCCAACATGCAGTATTATACGTTACCTGTTGGACTCCTCTCCTTTGTAGTAGTCTGCTGCTTGTTCATAATGTGCAATAGCCTTTGTAAAAGAAAAACAACAAACACTGTTGTGTGTTCCTCAAAACAAAAATACCCTACAGTAATATCATTAACAGTTACATCTGATTATGTGATATTACCTTTTCGATATCCACCAGTTCAGACTCGTAGATCTCTGCGATACTGATGTGGTGTTTGGCTGCGATGGTGAATCTTCCCTGGAGGAGGAGGAGGAGGAGAGGAGGAATCATTACTAACTGGATCTATCCACAGACACCTCTTGAGTCAATGCAAGTGCTGCGTTACATTTTCAGTGCAGAGAGGCGAGGTCAGGCAGTAGCCTGTGGCTTCACGTCTACAAGGTTTTAGCTTTTGAAATTAATCCTCGCTGAAGGGAATTACAAGATGCAATTTGATCAAGGTATTAGTGTTAAATAAACAAACTTGTGTGTTATGGATATGCTGATACGGGCCCAAAAATTAAATCTGGGGATGGGAGGAAATGAAGGGAGATAGATGATGAGATATCAAAATAACCTCTCAGCTATGAAAAATAAAAAATGTTGTGGGTCAGAACACAGATGGACACTTTCTATGAGCATCTTACCATGTCTGTGTATATATCGATGGCAGCATTTAAACACTTGATTGCCTCTTTTGGCAGCATAAAGGCAAGAGGAGGAAACAGTTAGACATCATCACACACACCCTCACGCAGACAGCACCTCATTCTGCATCAGTCTACATGCTGCCTTATTTCAACAGGCTGAAATGAGGTGAATGAAACAATCAAAGTTTCTTACGAGTTGCATGCAGTCAGTTACGATAAAAACAAAATCACAAGCAGGACCCTCCTCTTTTTTTCTACAAAACAAATACATCAGCCAGCTACCATCTCAACTAACATATGGCTACATCTATATTTAGAATATTAAATGAGTACAAAGAGCATTTTAAATCATCTAATGGTAAGTGCCATTCCAAGGGCAATAACTCTAGCACATTATAACTGATCAATTGTTTAAAAGGATAGTTCCGATCTTTTGAAATGGGGTTTTGTGAGGTACTTATACACAGTCAGTGTTTTACCCGCAGTAGATGTTTGTCAGCATGCCCCCAGTTTGGAGAAGCAGGCTGGAGTGATGACATGGAAGCTAAGCAATGTAGTGCTGTGGACGGGGGCAGCAGCGAAACATACTTAAGCCACCTAAAACAAAAAAATCAGTATCTGAAAATATTCTGAGAATATTTTCGCTGCTTTATCGTACTGCAGACTGCCCTTTCATAGAGCTTCAGTTCCCTGTCTATGCTCTCATCAAAGTTGCCAGACTCCATTGAAAAAAAACAGTAGTTTTGGCCTCCTAAACACAGGAGCTGCTGGTCTACCACTGCCTCGATCAGTTAGTTTGTTTGTGTTATGGTGTGACTTCAGTGAATCCAACCAACTCGTTTCAATGCCAAAGTCACAAAATAACAGATAATAAATAGCTGATCAAGGCAGCGGTAGACCAGCAGCTCCTGTTGTTCAGTGATGATAAATTACTGTTTTTTCTCAATGGAGTCTGGCATTGAAGAGAGCAGCTTCAGTTCCCTGTTGAAAATGGCCGTCCGGTAAAGTGGTGAAAATATTCTAAATACAGCGTAGCCTTAAACTGATATTGATTGATTTTTTTTTTCTAGGTGCCTCCGTCCACAGCAGCAGCAGCAGCAGCAGCAGCTATACCTAGCAAATTGACATATGACAATGTCTGCAGCAAAAGATCGTGATGGATGACGTTATGGTTTTTGTTTGTCTTGTGTCCTGTCATATGTTCCGGTCTCTAGTTGAGCCTTTGTCTATTTAAAGAGGCTGTAACACACAGCATGTGTGTGTGCTCAAAAAGAAGGAAAAAGTGGATTATTGCACATAATGTTTTTGTAAGTTATTAATTACTAATGCTACTCTAGATGCAGTGGGGCAGTTTGCAGCCAAGTGTGAAGCGGTTGTGATGAGAGTCAGCACCTCCAAATCTGAGGCCATGGTTCAAGTATCTCGGGGTCTTGTTCATGAGTGAGGGTAGAATGGAGCGTGAGATGGATCAGCAGTTTAATGCAGCTTCTGCAGTGACGCGGGCACTATGCCGGACCGTCGTGGTGAAGAGGGAGCTGAGCCAGAAGGTGAAGCTTTTGATTTACTGGTCCATTTACGTGTCAACCCTCACCTATGGTCATGAGCTCTGGGTAGTGACCGAAAGAATGTGATCGCGGATACAAGCAGCTGAAATGATTTTCCTCCGTGGGGTGTCTGGGCTCAGCCTTAGAGATAGGGTGAGGAGCTCAGACATGTGGAGGGGGTAGAGCCGCAGCAGATATCTTTCAGCGACACTGACAAATCTTCACAATGGCAGTGTCAAACTTAAGTGTGGATAGACAAATGAATGGGGCCGAGGGGGCTTTTTAATCACAATGTCAGGCTCGGTGGTGGATGACTGACTGGCCAACTGACTACAGATAAGTACCTCATACTACCCCACTTCAAAAGATCCAAACTATCCCATTAAAGTATTAAACGCAAAGCAGCTATTGTAGATTGTTAAAGTGAGATCTGCCTCATAATAAATTACAGGCTTTTAGCTAGACACTCAGTAGTAAACTGTCAGAAAGTTTAGCCTGGGGACACCAAATGTTTTGGCTTTCTAGATTAATACTTAACCTACTATGACTCATCTCTGGAGACATGACTGATTTTCTATGAGACAATTTTCTGTAAGCCATGTCCCACCTTGAGATGTGGGAATTCTCTAGGTCTGTGGTTCCCAATTAGTGGGTTGCGGTCCATTCTGAATGGACAGCAAGTGACTCACAAATGTGTCAAGTTTGTAAAAACAAAAAAACACACTTTATTTTGAAGTACAGTGAATTTCTAGCAAAGAGCATTCATCCTTAAGTGTTGTGTCCTGCTGTAGAGTGACTGACAAACGGACAGCTACTTCACAGAGACAGCAAACTAGCTTGACACTGAATAGATTAAACTTGAACTAATGACTAAGGAGAAATCTGGACCCCGTAGCACGACCAGTTGGGAACCACATGGACGTGACAAATCACAGCAACAACTGTCTACAGTAGACTCAACATTTCATTACTTGAAAGGAAATTAAAATTCGGGCACTAAAATGTAAGACATGGTTTAAAATGAGGTTTGAAGCTAATGAGTTACCACATAGTCTCACCATTAGGGTCGGACTTCTTGTAAGCATTTCCTGCATCGATGAAACTGGTGGCACAGTCGTGTTTGTTCTGCAGCTGCATGTGGAGACGTGCGGCCTTGCAAAATGCACCTCCAGCAGCTGAAGACGGAGACAGGAAGAGAGAAGGACACAAACTTTTCAGCACACATACTTTGCATTTAGCTTACACTCTAATTTATGCACATAATTCAACCTTGTTTTACTTGTGGCACCTTCACAAGTGCTGCGCTTTGCAGTTATGGTGCCAAAAAATCAGCACATAATCCTACAGCTTCTCGAGTGTGTGTTGAAATTGATAAGGTGGATATCTTTAGTGATGAAAAACAGCTTATCGCACCGCTCCAGTTCTTGGCCATCTTGAACATGTTGGCTGCTCTGCAGTACATCTCACATGCTTCTTCCACTTTGTGAGGTCCTCTAGACAAAGAAAGGAAACAGAAAAACACAAGTGAATATCATACAAACATTCATGCAGGATGCACATCATACTGCGAGTAAACTTAGTCTGACCTTTGTATAAAGTTATACCTAATAAACTCTGCCTAAATGGCACCACAAGGGGATGAAGTGTATAACGTGCAGAAAGATGCAATGTTCAAATTGGTGGCCAGGCTTACATAAATCCCTCGACACGAGCACTATAGATCTCCCTCCCTCCACGACAAGTAGTGGACCCCTGGGAGCTCCTGGGAGTTGTAATAATACTCTGACCATTCAATCATGCCGGGGGATTACATCACTGCTTGGTCAGCCACAGAATTACCACTATAAAGCCTGCCAAGAGTTATCGCACACGAGAACTGCCGACTAGTAACATCTGGGGGTCAGTTAGGACAGTGTTGGGAAAAAAGACAGAGTCACGCAGGGCAATAACTGCTGGCTCTTTGTATTTTGGGCCTATGGAAACAAATCTTTCCTCTCGTCTTTGTGTCTCTGTAAAATATTAATATATAAGATGACATGTATTTATTTAAATAACACCATATTAATGATCTCCACAAGGTCACTGGTAGATTATAAGTCACGGACAGGAGTCAGACAGAGTGTCTGTAACCTTTGTAATGGCAGCTGTTAGGGAAGCTAGAATAACATTGTTTTAAATGTGTAGGCAAAATGAACTCTAAGCAAAAAGTTCTTTCCAGCGTTTATCTATGTTTAAGTTAATTTTGTCATAACCAGTCAGATAAGTAAAATCTTGTAAAAGAGGTGTCTTCTTAAAGAATGATTAATCTCTGTTTTAAGTCTTTTTTGTTGCACTTTATTCCTGCCTGGTGCTAGAGCTGCACAGGAGCTGCAATTTTTGTGATAAATGTAAAACGTGTCACAACATACTGTTATAAATGAAGCACTGTGGCTCTTCAGGGATGCCTCGGTCTACAAATCATATTCCAGATGTCAGGGAACATGGTAGCTTGGCACAGATGCCAGCAAAAATCCCATCATCATTATTTTTATATTTTTCTTGGTGAAAATAAAAAGCAAAAATTACCATTAACACTAAAATCACAACTCGTATATCTGTCAAAATAATCTCAATATGACGTTTTATTTTTCGTAGTTTTTGCATATCATGCAGCCCTACCTGGTTGTCCTCTTGATATATATTTATTCAACATACAACGTACATGACTGTACACGTTTTTTTTGTTCTATTGATGTTTATATTGTAGTAACCATTATAGCTTAATATATATTTTATATATCTGAGTGTAACACTAGTCTATACAGTGTAATGTAGCACAATGCACATATTTGGATATTTTTTACACACTTACAGACTCAGCAAAGTGAAGATATATTTTTTATGTTAATATTTTAAGTACTGGTGTTAAATATTGTATATCTCATACTCTTATTCATACTTATTATAATTCTCTATTCTTAACCTAGGAGCGACTGTAACGAATCACAGTTTCCCCTCTGGGATCAATAAAGTATTTCTGATTAAAATCTGAAGGTTCAGTCTGAAACAAAATGAGTGGGACTGCTGAAACTTTCAGCATGAATCTAACACGCCATCTTCCTTCTGAACGATCGCAAATACACATGAATGCTTGTGTATTTCAACACCTAGCATTCCCATATTTAGCCTGACAAATGTCTTATTTTATAGGGAAAATCTTAACAATCACAAATCGTCTGTGATTCTTACTGTAGTTTTAATCAGAAAGTGTGTAGTGTAAGTGGAAAAACAGAAAGCCTAAGTAAACTGTTTTTATTAATGACATAATTGTCAAATGTTTGAAGCAACACAGAAGATCACCTTAAGTCAAACATGTAAGATGTCATTTCTAAGGATGTCCCTTGCTAAATGAAAAATGAATTAGTGTATGTATTTTCCATAATTTGCCTCATCCAAAAATCCCTTGTAATTTTGTTCTTTTAATTTTAACTTTACATAGTTCACTTACTGTTACGTTTCTCTATTAGATATGCTATATGCTGTGGTTACATGGTCAGCACTGTTAGTGTCCCATTCTTGATACGCAATACTAATGCTCTTGAAATGGGTTGCAACAGTATGAGATTGTTACAGTACAATAACTGTCTCAATGGATTAAAATGGAGGGGTTATTTTGGGTTTAATTAATTACTATAATTAAAACTTAAAATCATTTTGTTAATGCAAGTATGTTAAAAAAGAAGTCTCCCCTTTGAAAGTAACTAAAACAGGAGATGTAACAGTGTGGGTAAATACATTTTGAACTGTGATCCTGTAGGATGCAGACAAGGTTAAGCTGACATGTTGACCATGAGTACTACCAGCTGACTTTTATTTCATTTATATAGGTTTTTTTCATTTATTTCTTTACCTATTTATTTCAAATTAGTTGCACACCTACTTTAAGCCTATGCATGAAGGGACTGTTAGAAGGTAAAAGGATTAATTTTTCTGTTTAAAAAGAAAAACATGAAACTGTGTTATATGTCATCATATATGCAAATTGCTGTAGAAATTGTGGTTACCAAAAGAAAAAGAAAAAACTAAAATAAAGGGGAGAATTTCAGCATCATAGACAAGCACATGCACACAGTATGATAACCACCAAATTTTCAGTATGTTGCTGCAACCCTACTCTAGAATTTTAAATAATCAATAATAATCATAAACCTTTTATTTATGTGTTTTGGGGATTAACTCAGGTGTTAATGAGTGCACTGATAAAAGTAGTAATTAATATTGAACCATGTTGTTGCAGAGTCACTGCCTTGGAGCTTGTGACGTTAGTTCAGACAAAATATGTTTAGGTTTTCACTCTGAGGAGAATATGTTCCACAAAAAAATGCAGTTTTTGACTTAAATATGGGAATAAATCCCTGGGATCTGAATTAAATGTACAGACATAAACTGTCAGATAATATCACAATACATCTTTAACAGTCACCTTCCATAATGCAAATACTGAGTGAAACCACAGTAAGGGTTGTAAATAAAGTCAGAGTAGATGTCTTAGTCACTGAATTAGCTGTAAACAGTTTAATGCGTAGCTTCCCAAAGCTAGCTCCAGCAGAGAGTCGTGATCTGCTGGCTTGTTTACAGTGAATAATAAGCTAACTTAGCTAACTAACTCACAGGGACGGTTACAGTGAACGTCACGTGCCGCCCTAACAGTTTAATATCTCACTAAACCTATTAAATATGTCGTAAATTATCGATAACTGTCTAAATGTATGTGTACGTATAGCTGGGCTGCGTGCCAACTTGTCTGCTGACAGTTAACACTTGCTAACGTTAGCTGTTTGTTCTTTGGTGCAGTGCTGTCTTACCCTCCGAACATCCCTCCCAAAAAGGAGCCAGAAGACTTGACTTTCTTGTCAGCGTCCGCCATTAGCTGAATGGCTTCCTTCTCTTTCCCGGAGTTGTCCATGTCTTTGCTTTTTGGGGAACAAACTTACAGTGAGGCAGAAAATACCCGCAGAGGATTCCGCTGTGTACAGTGAGGATTACAGTCGATGGGTTTATTTAGCGTAGGCGTGCACCAGCTAGTGGCTTAGCCGAGCGCCGAGGTATCGCGGGAGCTGTAGTGCGTTACGTAACTCAGACAGTTGGCCTCAAGGCGAAAGGAACTACAACTCCCAGCGACACATGAGGCTACTTATATACACCGTGTTACGTAATATCTGATGGTACTTTGCGATAATATTTTTAACGTTAATTTATCATTCTTTATTTATTACATTTTACAAATTATTAAATTACATTTTATTTTTGCTTCTCCGTAAAATACAAAATTTTAAAATTAAAAATATCATGAAGAAGCAACATAAGCGGTGTACGTTGTGTTTCTGTACAGCAGAGGGCGCTAAAATATTACAACTAACTGCACTTCATGTTTAATCCAAGGGAAATGTAAAGGATAAAAAAAGTATCTAAAATAAATTAAAAATAATAACAATTAAAAATAAATAATTAATTCATTAAATAAAATTACAACTAATTAAAAAAATATTTTATTCAACACTTTGTCTGCCATTTTTAGTCACTTTATTCATCTTGATGTAGCAATTTTATTTTATCTTATCTTTTTATTTATCTATTATTATTATTATTTTTTTCTCTTTTATCTTATTCTATTTTATGTCTTTTTGTTTTTGTCTTGTGCTGCTGTGATATTTGAATTTCCTCTCTGGGGGATCAATAAAGTATATCTTATCTTATCTTAAATTCTTTTATAATTTCCTTGATTTAATATTTCAACCAGATCCATTTTCATGAAAGAAATGAAATTTGTAAAAACCCAAACAAGCCTGGCATATTTATAAAAATACCATATGCAAATACCAAATATCACTTTTTTCAGACTTCTGACCCTTTTATTCATTTTCTTCTTTAATTTTATTTTATTATTTTTTTGTTTCCATTTCCATTGGAGTTTTATGCTCACTTTGTACTTTGTACTGTTTGTACTGTATTGTCAGCTTGATATTGTAATGGCCAGAATTTGTTACTGAGCCTGTCTGTTTGTTTGATGTATTTTATTTTTATATTTTTATTCTGTTCTATTTTTATCATTTTGTGATTGATTTTTATCTTTGTTTGCTCGACCTGAGACAGAAGCTAATTGACGAATAAGACTTGAAAATGTGCCTTGTTTTTTTGTACGAATAAAGTTCTCAATAAAGAGGAAGAAGAAAAAATTGAGTCCAGACTTTCCCTTGTTTTTAAGTGTAGGTTGACAGAAAATTTAAGTAAATTGCACCTTGCTTGTCACGTCCTACTGTAGCTCATGAAGCTGACAAAGCTACATGGATTTAACTTCATCTTATATGCGACTGTTGTTTTGTTTTCTTAGCAAACATTTATTCTTGTCAGTGCAGGAAAAACACATGTCACCTGTAAGATTAAAGACAGCCAGTTTACACACGCTACATTATTATCAGGGCTAAATCACCTATTTAACATCGGCAGGATCATTTCAAATCAACACCATCTGTGACCTGGTCCTTCTGGAAGGTTTAAGGGGAGTAAAATAGAAACTTAACAGCTAAACAGACAATTTTGGAGCATTTTGAGACAAAAATCTTAGATCAGGTGTTCAAGTTTTGATGACTGAGTCCCATTTTAAGGAGCCAGAGTACGACTGAGAGCTACACAGGAGGGTGCACACACTATGACTTTTTTTAAATGAATTATTACACTATGACTTTTTTGTGATAAACTTTTTTTTAGAACATTTTTATGACATAATAACATTTAGAAAGAACTATAACAATCAACACTGACAAAGTCTACACAACACTCATATTACATTTTAATTTTTCACTTTTAACAGGGTTCCCACCACTTCTTAAAAATCTTATAAGCCATTGAATTTATCATCTAAAAAATAAGGCCTTAATTTATGTTTCATGAATCGTAAAAATGCTAGGACATGGGAAGTAAGGTTTTACCAAGCTTTTTTCTTATATTGCGTTGAAAAAAAAAACAACTTTCAGAATCTACCACACACACAATAATGGTTTATCAAACAAGTTCACTTTGCATTTTGTTCTGTTCACCTCACAATGATAGCACCATCATACAGTTTGTAGAAGTGCATCAGGTCATGTGTTTCCATAAACAGACAGTAAACAAGAAAACAGATGGTTACCTAGCAACAAACATTTCCTGCTAAGCAGACATGCCCACAGCCAAAAAGTGTAAAGCTGCCAGCGAGGGCCAGGCTGCTTTCAGGAGCAATAGAAAGCTGAATACTTTTGCATTGGAAAACAAAACAGCTGTGTTTGTCACATTTGTATGCATCTGTATTTTTTTTTTTAAATAATCCAAAGGATGTGAGAAGTAGCCGGCCCCCATCTGGGCCCCATTCAACAAGTTTGGGCACCCCTGGCCCAGTAAAATAAGCTCCACCTGGACCTGCAACAGCATTAAAATACTCTTAAATGTTAATACATCAGCAATGATTATACAATAATGTGAAAATCAGCTCATTCTGAAAAGAGTGTTTTTTGCTTTAGGTGCTTTGAAGTGCAGTTTGTTGGCATTAAAAAGAAATTAACAAATGTACTGTGAGCCACACCTGTGAGTCAGTGTGCACCATACGGCCCACACCCTGTTACTGGCACTGGCACTGGCACTGGCACACCTGATTGTCCAGCAGCCAAAATCAATCTTGATAAAAATACCTTGGCTTTTCCTGCTCTAAGATGTAATGAAAAAAGGTTTATACTTGTTATCTTGAACCGGATATGGTCTATAAATGGGCGTAGCAACCTGAAACCTGTCAACTTAATCAACCTTTAATTTAAAATTCTCCACAGTGGTTCAGCATGAGGTACAAGATCTGTACTTCTGCAGGGTCAGTTATAGCCTACATACCTCACTGCACCATCTGCTCTAATGTATACTCACTAGTGTAAAGCACCTGTGTATCTGTTATCCTTCCCATCCTCTTCAACTCTGCACCTGCCAAGCGATGTGAACTTATTCACCCTGAGCACACAATAGTCCAGGCTGGTGCCAATGAAAAGGTCGATCAGTGATAAATCAGTTTCAAGGTTTTGCTGATAAAAACCGGCCAACACAATCGTCATAAGATAAGAAAGAACCCATGTCATCACTGATGCCTACTACTACTGAGTGTGCACGTGTTATCTTATTAACCATTAACTAACGGCTAAACTGCAGCGCCAGCAGCGTCACATGGCTGTAGGATATGTGGAGTGAGTCTATACCTGCAGGGAAAATGATTTTACTGCCTCTTACCTAACTTTACCGCCTGGTGTATGTAAGATGGACTCACGTGTGAGTGTAAACAAACATAATGTACACTCTAGACAAGAATCAACTGGTCCAGCTTAACGAAATTAGGGTAATAATTTGCAAACATCTTATAAATTGTTTAAACTCTGGAATTACTGAGCTAATCCGTTTGTCTTTTATAATCTGACAAACTCAGTTAGTTTAGTACATCTAACATGATTTGCTTTGACCTCAAAAAGCTTAATTAAGTTGAACCAACTTAATATTATCCAAACGTTGTGTATATATTTGGTGATAAAACTTTATTTAAGATATTCTTACTCAAAAATGTCAAAAATGTTTTTATGTTGGCCACCTTCTTACAACACAGTACTGTAACAAACGTAAACAATTTTTTAGAGCACTCTAAAAAAGAGTCCACTGGTTCAACTTAAAAAAATTAAGGTAATAATTTGAACACATCTTTTTAAGTGCTTCCAGCTTTAGCCTTGCACAGTAAATCCTACGAGTCTTATAATCTGACAAACTGATTTGCTTTAAACTCAAAAATCTTAAATAAGTTGAACCAACTTAATCTTAGCCAAAAGTTGTGGGGATATTTAGTGATCAAACTATTTTATTTAAGATATTCTAACTTATTTATTTTAATTCAATCCCACTCAAAAATGTCAAAAAAATGTTTCTGATTTTGACCAACTTCTTAAAATATAAAGTTACCCACTGACATTAACACGTTCGTGACACAAATGTAGTTTTTTTATGCTTAAAAAAAACTTCTTTATCTTAAGCGTCATCCACTAATCTCATGAAAAAACAGACAATTTTGGAGCATTTTGAGACAAAAATCTTAGATCAGGTGTTCAAGTTTTGATGACTGAGTCCCATTTTAAGGAGCCAGAGTACGACTGAGAGCTACACAGGAGGGTGCACACACTATGACTTTTTTTAAATGAATTATTACACTATGACTTTTTTGTAATAAACTTTTTTTTAGAACATTTTTATGACATAATAACATTTAGAAAGAACAATAACAATCAACACTGACAAAGTCTACACAACACTCATATTACATTTTAATTTTTCACTTTTAACAGGGTTCCCACCACTTCTTAAAAATCTTATAAGCCATTGAATTTATCATCTAAAAAATAAGGCCTTAATTTATGTAGAAGTTTTGTAGAAGTGCATCAGCTCATGTGTTTCCATAAACAGACAGTAAACAAGAAAACAGATGGTTACCTAGCAACAAACATTTCCTGCTAAGCAGACATGCCCACAGCCAACATTAAAACACTGCCATGGTCCAGCACATGCATAAAAGAGGCGGCATCAAGTCTCCTTTTGGAAAAGCAAGACATGTTTGTATGAGTCTTGCTTTTGTGTTTGATTATGCAGGATGGCTGTGGCACCTTTGTTAGTTTAATAGTGCTTAACTAGATTATTGGATCAACCAGTCTGACGATAGCAGCTCCTCTGTTTGTCCCCGGGCTGGGAACCATTTTGTAGTTGCTTTGTATGTTAGTTAGATCTGTGATACTATAAAGCCCTGTGGTTAGCCATAAGCACAAAACAACTGTGGATTTTGTCTGCAGTCAAGCACTTTGGATACAGATCATTTCATAGCCAGTAACAACATGAGGAATGCTAACAGCAGGCAAAACTTGTTTAAATGTTCATACAGGCACCATTTGAAGCCTTTGAAGGTCCAGTTTGTAGGATTTAGGGGGATATATTGACAGACATGGAAAATATACATATAAGTCATAACTATGTTTTACGAAATGTTGTGTTTTCATTACAAGCTGTTTATATGTACATGCAGGCACGTGCACATGTGGACCCCAGGTGGTGTTCAAGCACCTGCCCTTTTGGTGTCTGACTAGATAAGTGCCCTTTTGCAAGATGTTTTCTCCATTTCTTTAACCCTTTTAAACCTGGATTGACATCCGTTTTCTTGTGCTGCGTTCAGGTTCCTTTTGCAAGCATTTAAACATCAAATTTATTTATTAGAAAATTATCAAAAAACTTGGGAAATGTCAAGCTCTAAATTTATATTTATATATATTTAAAATTATGTTCAAATGATGTTACAGAAAATTTAATTAATTTTTAGCGATCTTTGTCAGTAGTTTATATTTTTATGGATTTTTGTGACTTTTTACTTATCTTTTTTGATTATTTTTAGGTAATTTTCTTTTCTTTGTTTAACTTTTCTTGTTTTTGCTTATTTTGTTGAGTAATTTCTTGGTTACTAAATTTACTTCTTAAAACCTTGTAATATCTTGCCAATGTTTTCATTTCATGAATTTCTCATTGCCTTATTTCCATGTTTCTGAAAAATAAAATCAAGCCAATTTGCTTAGGTTTCAAAGGGTTAAAAAAAGTGTATTTTAGTTTTTAAATTTGGCCCATGCAGCCTCCACATTTAAGGCACGCAGATCAAGCGCTGTGTGGAACAGCGTCCATGTCTCCCTGACCTGCCTTCATGAACAGCCAGGCACCAACAGTGTTTGTACGCCTCAATTAAACCACTATTAAAACATCGCAATGCAACCACACAAACTGAGCAATAACCTGCCATTGAGCTTAAAAACAACTAAGCTGGTCTGGTGTAAAATCACAGTCTCCCTCCAACTCGGACGCCGAATTGCTTTCTTACTTCCACACGGCTTTATAATCCAAAATTCAACAAGAAATACTGTCCATGTGTGCAGCGTCTACAGTGTGTATGTAAAACATCTTTATGGAAAGGGTGCCCTTTTTTAACCTGAGCACCTGCCCCAAAAAATGTCTGTACATGGCACTGTGTACACCAAGCTCCAGGATTTGAAGCCAATTTTACATAGTGGCCAAATGTGGAATTACAACGTCCGAGTTTGTCAGGTGAGGCCATTTGACCCAGAAAGAGTTTTTCCCATTTACTTACAAAGTAAAGGGCTTACGGACCCCTGCAAAATGACTTGAGGATGGGATTGGGATTTGATGCAATCATTCTGATAACATTTGGAAAGTGTAGCAGAGCTGCATGATTAAATCATCTTATCCCCTTTCAGGTTAGCGGAGTGTTAAACTGGAAGTTAGCTGCTTGACCACCTTAAAGTCTTTATGTAAAGGAGCAAAAGGCAAATCATTTCACATCAAGGGATCAGCTACAACCTCCTAGTTTAAAAAAAAAAAAACAATCCTCAATTTACTGGATGAGAGACAAAAAATCAAAGACAAGATAAACAAACATAGGTTTTGATTTTATTTACATCACCCTTACACTCTTCTGTCCTGAAGTGGCATTTTAATATTACACACTAGATTTATACAGATATACAAGACCATGCACGACTCAATCATTCCAGTCTGTAGCTCAGAAATTGTGCGATGAGACAGATATACAGGTAGAATATGACGTATGTACAAAGAGTTTACTATAATGGATTTGTTTGCTGTGTTTAAAAAGCTGCATTACTATTATTGTAATATACTAACACATCATATCAATATGCAAATGATTTCATGTGTAAATGGTGCAAAAAAAAAAAAGAAAGCCATGCAATAAAAAGTATGTGTGCTGTGATGTTAGATGGTATTTATAAGAAGGGAGTTCATTCTGTACACAAGTCTCAGCTCAGGTCTATTCTAATAGATGATGAGTGAGGTATTGGAGGTTTTTAAAAACGCAAATAGACCTGATTTTTTCCCCCCTTAAGGCTGTGGTGCGTGTGTGCGCACTGTGACAAATAAAACATTCTTCTGCTTTTCAATCAGGTAGATAAAAAGAATAAAGGACATGGTAACAGTACATTTATCAAGCTGTATGTGGTTTACAATAACAGCTGAGTGGGAGGTGTGAGAAGCAGGAGTAAGTGCTTGTCAATAGTCCGTCCAAAAGGAAATAAATCCATCTTCTTACTGCTGAAGAGGGTGAGTATTTATTAATGGCAACCTGCATCTCCCATACTGTCTGCGCTCAAGCTAAATTAGCGTCCAGTCGCTATTACTCATTGCTATCTGAGAAAATAACACTGAAGGTAATGGCATCATGCACAGAAAAGACCCAACAGCATAATCCCGCATTATCATGAACTTTATGACAATAAATCTGCAGTTGTTCTCTTATAATATGCAAATATAATATGCATTACATTTGAGCACTTAGACTATAAAGCAAAGCAACATGTGAGCTAAATAAATATCCACTATCGAGTGTAGTTCCTAAATACGACCTTGTTCCACTATCACGATGACCTCTACAGGTTCTTCTGAAAAACCTAAAATCACTGCTTCCTCAATGCTTTGGCAAAACGCCCACCTGCTTCAATAGAAAGCATAAATAACATAAAACATCTGTGAAGAGTGCAAAACAAATACAAAAACCTGGAAGTGAGCGGAGGTGGTTGGACTGGTTTAACTCCTGTGATTAGGTGTGACGAAGTAGAGAAATTGTTTTGGAAAATATGCCCAAACCTAATCTGTCATCTTTCAGGGCGCTCCCGAAGAACGTGGTATTTCACCCAGGGGGACGGTGCCTAACATCCTGTGTCGTGTGTTGTGTACATGATGTGTGTTCTTGTTGCACTGGGTTGTCAGATTGTGGACAAACTAGTAAAACTGTGACCTAAAAATTTATTTATTACTTAATCTTTGCTTTAACACTGAGATTAAACCCACAGATGACCTCACACCTGATTCACTTTTGGCTCCTTGTACTGCTGACACTAACCGTGACTAGACTCCGCTGCAGATATTCAAATGACTTTTACTGCTGATAAATTCTCAAAATATCCATCTTAATGTTTGACTATATAGTGCTAATGTAAATCTAATCTAATGTAAAAGATATTGACATTTAGATTAACTTAATTATTTCCAATGACGAAAATCTACTCAGAGAGAGTCTGTATTCTGACATCAGTATACCATTTTGCATCAATCAGTCCCTCCAGATTTCAGGAGCTGTTCTTGGGATTGTTGTAGCCTGAAAACGCCTCATTTCACAGCAGCGTTTCTAAAAAATCGAATGCATGTTGCTGTGTTTATGGGTGTTTCCTTGCACTGAAATTGTTGCAGCAAGTGAAAAATGCACAATGCAAAAAAGCCCTTTATGATGAGCATTCAGTTTCCTACATGATTTATATTTATTTGTGATGGTTGGGGGAAGGTGGAGGCATTACAAGCTGATCACAGCCAATCAGCTGTTGCTGCGGCTTCAGGATGGTGAGCCGCTTCCCTCCTGCTCTCGCTGCCCGGTTAGCACGAGCTAACACAGAGCAACGTGATCTCACTATTCATCATATTTTGCCGCTTGAGCTGAAGCCTTGAGGAAGCGGTTAATCTTACACTGACACCAAAATGTCTCATCTTGGTTGTTAGAGCTGTTAATAATTGTTGGGCAATGTTAGCTATGTGATGCAGCCCTTCCTGGGTGTGTCAGAGACTTTGCCCCAGACACAGAGCTCCAGTTCTGCAGCAGGAGTCTCATTATAAAAGAATGTAAAAATTCAAGATGCTGCGTGCTAAAATGAAATAATATTTAACACATTTTTAAATGGTAAAAGTTGCGGTAAAGTTGTGGTGCTCGGAAAAGACTCCCCAGCATCTCCACCAGATGACGGGAGTGGAACTTTTTTTAACTTGTGCTAAATAAATAAATCTAAAATCTAAATCTAGATTGCACAGAATTCACAGGCATTGGCTGAATTTGTGTTTACTGTTGCAAACATCATGGAGGGACTGATTAATAGAGGCCCAAACAGGCTTACAAGGCAGACTATCAATTTCCATGTGCGCAAAAGTGAGACCAAATATACAACTTATCAGAAAACATGAATAGTAAAGTCTGTCTGCCTTCATACTCGTGTATTATCCAGACTAATCTGCCTACTTTTCCAAGCTTTAGAAATAAAACTAGCCTACACTCTGACGCTCAGTCCAACTTCTCATTTTCAAGTATTAAGTATGAATGTGCCCTGATGGTCACAGAGCCATGTGGGTGAAATACCACGTTTCAGGGAGTCCCCATTTTTCAGCAAGTATATGCTTGTGTTTGATCATTCATTCACGGCTTGGCGCTCTCGGTGTATATGTGCAGTGAAGTCAACTGAAGCTTAAAGGGAGGAGGGGTTATGAGGAGCTGAGGCCCGAGTCGGACTCGGCGCTGCCAGCACGGGACTTGGTGGTGGCGCAGGGAGCCATGGAGCAGGGGATGGAGTAGCAGGAGCAGGTGCAGCTCTTCATGGTCTCCTCTGTGATCACCTCCCGCAGGGAGTGTTGCTCCTCTATCTTGAAGATGTTTGACTGCTCTCCTTGGTCCTCGCAAATACTGAAGGAAAAGGAGCAGACATGTTTCAGTTAGATCAGTGACAGGCGTTAGCGACCTTGTGAGATTCTTTAAATGTTATCCGTCACTCATAAACCAAAGCGGAGTTTACCTGATGCAAAAACATGTATACATTCACATTGATGAATAACAGAGCTCGCAGAAGGGTTGAAATATACAAATATATATCACAACATCAGTAAGAACATTTACCCACTATCTACTGTATATACTGCACATCATTTGAGCTTTTATTCATCATTTTATCTGATACAAGTAACATAAAAAACAGTCAAATATCCAACAAGCAAGATGCAAAAAAATAAATGTGCTCTAAACTGACTAGCAAAGGGTTAATATTATCATACAGTAGCTCCATTCTCATCTTTTCATGCATTTGTGTTAATAAAAAAATCAGCACTGTTGGCTGCATTCATTTTGGCTCAGAGGGTGATTGCACTGGTTGCCATTTTCGGCAGTAAGAAGGCGCATGCCTACATGCCTCAAGTTTCTGCGCTCTAGGCGCTTGGCTTTTCATCTCTTCTTTCATCTTTTTTCCATTGTCCAATCGGATGATTTGAGAGGCAGACCTTCTGCAGTGGTCACAACAACAGGTTTACAGTTGGTAAACTGGTGGTAGTGGTTGCTGGAAAGCCAGAGCTATATGTCCCTGCCCTGACTCATCCTAAAATATGCCTGTAAACGTCCTGGACCAACTGGTGGTACTCCCCATGATCCAGCCTCTTTTTTAGGGTCTCATGTACCCACACAGATCTGTTTATCTGCTGACAGCATCTCACCCTCAACCAGCGCTACAGACAGTACCCTCTGCCTCAACGTTTTAGAAAGGGTTAGTAGGTTATGATGACAGTGGCAACGTTCAAGGAGCCAGAGTTTGATGCCAGTTCTGTTGAAGTAAATGGGGCAGGCACAGCATGCTAGTGTTGCAGTGATATACTGGTTTGAGAGTATAACGTGATACAAAAGTTGACAATTATCACACCATGTACATTTGCTAATCTATGATATTGAAAAAAAAAAAACAACCTGCAACTGGATGGAGAATCTCACCTTTATTTCATTCATTTTCAAAGAGGAGACTTTTTACACAAACTCCCATTAACCAAATGGTTTCAAATTTTAATTATAGCAATAAAACGTCCGTTCAACCAACAATAACCCTTCCATTTTCTTTAAGGGTCACTCTGACTGATAATAACATAAATTCTGAGATACCATGATACCGTGAAACTCTACAGCATACCACACTAAACCCATCATATATTTGTTGTCTCAACCTAGACTGCAAAAGCCTTCCACGTAATTAGAAAACACACTTTACGTGATGCTTACCAACATTTTTAATGGAAATATTCATGTTTATTTACCTTGTCATTGGTCTTCAAACAGATCATGACTCGCAGAGGCTGAGCTGCAGCTGCTGGACAGAGTCATGATCTGTTTGAAGACCAATGACAAGGTAAATGAACATGAATATTCAGATAAAGAATGTCAATAATCATCTTTTTTTTTTAAAGCCGGTGGATAGATTTTTTTAACTCAAAGTTGAAACAACAAAGATACCGTGGGTTAAAGTGTTATTTGCAGTTCCCACCCCATTGACTCCAACGGAACTGACACCAAACTCTGGCTCTGAACACTCACTGTCGTCAGGAGTGTTCCTTATTTTATATTTTTTTCTTGGTTTACAGGCACAGTTTCTTAATATCAACTGTGTGCATTTCTCTGTGGACTTTTTCAATATGGGACCTTTAAAGCTTTGGGGCACCTCACTTTTACCTGCTAAGCATATGCCACCTTTTGTGAAGCAATGCCAGAGTGCACTAAATAGAAATTTAGGTAGCTGAAGTTCATGGGCTCACTTTTACAACCTGCTCCAGGGCAGATTAAGATCATGCTACCAAGTCAAGTCACGTACGGCCAACATCCTGACCACTCCACTATGGAAAACAGAGGCATTGTTCCGTCCCAATAAGAACAATGTTAGACATTGTTCTAGTAAGCTAAAACCTACATTTAGCGCAGCTATGCAAGCTTGTATGTAGGACAAAGGTCATTCATGTGTTATATGAAATTGGATAAGGGCTACAGAAATGTTGGACCCCCAGTATGCTGCTCATCCCACACTGTAGATCCTCAGCAAAGAGCTCTGTCAATCAGCTCTCTACAGCTGGTTACAGGTGGTTAAGGTTTAAGCCATGGATGGGATTAGGGTCATGATTAACCACTGTGGAGCTTTCAGTCATGGAGAGCTTTTTCACAGAAGACATTTTGACTTGTCACAGTAGGAAAAGTAGAGGTGTAAATTATAACTTACTATTATTTTTGTAGTTATCATTTTGTATCCGCACAGAAAAATAAACACTGTTTTAAGAGGGAAGTCCTTTTCACTGTGTATCCTTCTTACTAATGGTTAACTTTATGACATTACAATTAATAACCTCAGACTTACTGCCCAACAGGGCAAAACACCACAGTGCACAACAATGTGTGACACAATCAATCTGTAACACCAATAGCTGTACATTTACAAAACGGCACTGCTGAACAGCAGGCTGGATACAGCTCACTGGCTGGCCTGTTAGCATACAGTCTGTTAACAGTTCCATCACTTCAGCACACAGAAAAGACAGATGGAGGATGAAGAAAGAGATCAAGAGACCAGAGAGGCACCAGAAGAGCCAAAGAGAGGAGCTGTGTCTGCTTTTTGGAAGCTGTTTTGGTTTTAAAAAATTAGCACAGGGAAAAAAATGTTTAAATCAATTCAATTGCGATTTTAGAAGTGTAATCGAATTGTGGATTTAGAGAACCATGGCCATTCTTGTAGGATTACATTAAAATGTTTTTATGTTCTACGAACCCCTGACAGTAGAATAAGCCACAATAAATCTATATAAAGGGGGAAAAAATACTTGTATATACCGTGAAACTGAAAGAATCCTAAAAAATAGTCACTGTTAAGTGCAACACACACCGCCGCCGGCGCGGCGCTGTGGCCGTCAAGGGCCGCCCCCCAACACACACTGGCAGTGGCGCGCAGCGGCACCATGAACATGTATTTCCCACCCCAGCCCGCTAGGTGGCTGTACCTACACTAGTTGCCAACGGTTGCCAACTGCTAATAACAGAAGAAGAAGAGGAAAAACTTTGAGGCAACAACAACTTGAATTTCACGGGTGAGTTTCTTATCAGTTTCTTATCAAAGTCGTCTTATTAAAAATTTGAAACAACCAGAGTTGATCCTACGAGACGAGACGTACATAAAAGGCTTTTCTCGCAGCGCCGCCATGAGCGCCGGCCGCGCTGGAAATAGAGCAGTGGGCTGAAGCAGAGCAGCGCGGCGCGTCGGCCGGCGCCAGTGTGGGTTGGTTCATAGAATATAATGGAGGCGGGCGTTTTGACGCACGGCGTACGGCGGCGGTGTGTGTTGCACTTTACACTCTGTGGAATGCTTTAATAGAACACAACCATCGTTAATTTTATTAATAACATCTGTGCTTTCCAGTGACAAATCAAAATGTCTTCTGTAAGAAATATCTGATGTGAGTACCATCTGTCAAACCCATCTCCTAACGGGAACACACTCATAGGAAGAAGGTCATATGAGGTCATAAGAGGTAGCTCATGTCAAACATTCTGAGACCAGTAATCCAGTAAGATATTTTCATAATGTTCAACCAGTGTCATGAGACATGCTCCTGAAGTCTTCACCAAATGAAAGCAGAGCAGTGCAGCTAATTTTCAATCCTACATAGTTTCCAGTGCCATCACCCCTGTTCAAAGAAACCAAACTGCGATACAAGCAGATCGTCTACAAACTTAATAGGTGCAAATAATAGAAAATATACTTGTGACGTATGAACAGTGACATCTGACAAAATAGCTGAGAGGTGAATAGCTGTAAGTATTGAAGATGAAATGCAGGTCTCTCTTGGATCAACATTATTTGCGATAGGGATGTCTCGACCAAGTTTTTCTCCTGATCAAAGTCATTTAATATTGAGTGTCTGCTGATATTAAGTTCCAATCCAACACTTCTGTATTTCTGGAAAATACAGCTGCACAGTGCACACTTCAAGTACTTTAAAGTTATTAAAATCAACCCAGTGAATGTGCTTGACAAAGAAAAAACAATCCCTGCATCCAAGCTGTTCATTAATGTTTTATTTTAATAAAATATCAAAACCTCTCTGTAATCTTTTTGGCCTTTGCCTGAGTTACCTGAATGAACTGTATTCTGTTGAGTGTTTATTTTCATCCTCTGTACATCTCTTGTGCGGATTACATTAACAAATTACTCTCATTGGCTTTTGCATGCAGGGCTTTTGTTGCACATGCAGTGGCGTGGTGAGTGTAGCTGTCGTCGCGTGGCTCTACACTGCTGTCTGTCTCTGCTCCACCCGCGGTGAAACACTATGCTGAAGTACAAGAGACTCACACTGAGCAGAATGAAACGAGGGCTTATAACTTCGGCCAATAGCATAAGTCTCATGCTGTGTTTTGCTGCCATTTAGGGAGCGGGGTGTCTCGCAGCAAGCGTGGTGCTTAGGGGAGCTTGATGAATAAAACACCTGTATGACAGCCACAGACTGTAAGAAATAACGGACGTAGCAACAGGAAGTCACCCACTGGTTTGTGAACTCCAGTTTTGAAGTCTCTTGTTTGGCATTTTGGCCAACGCCATCTTGTTTTTTGAAGCCAGAAGTGACCATAATTCCGTGAGAGGGAAAAGCCTGTCACTCAAAGCAGCCCGCCCTGATTTATACTTAACTTTAAGCCCTAATAAAATCTAAACGGGTGAGTTATATAAAAATTCACACCCCTTCATTTGTCATGAATGGGAAAATTAGCTATAGAGAACAAAACAATTTTTTGTATCTGGCTGTAAATGTGTAAATTTGGGGATTTTAACATGGGAGTCTATGAGGACTGACTAGCTTCTGGAGCCAGCCTCAAGTGGCCATTAGAGGAACTGCAGTTTTTTTTGCCCTTCCACGTTTTTATGGAAGTTGCCACTTGGTGACAACTGATGTAAAACAAAAGTCGGATTGGGCTTAATAGGCCCGTTTCCACTAAAGAAGTTCCTGGTACTATTTGGGGGGCAGGAACTACTACAGGAACGTCCTCTCATTCGGCCCTCTCAACCGCTGTGTCTCCACTGAGAGAGCGGAGTACGAGGAAGGTTCCTGTAAAGTTACAGGCTGCCTCTGGATGTGACGTAATCGTTGCGCGACCATTTTGACCGGGGCGACTTAGGGACTCCGTTAGCTGATAGCGGTGTCTGTAATAACTCACTAAATGGCCTGTGAAAAAAATATTTTTTCCAGTGGATGTTTTAGTTACAACATGATTGAGCTAACTGGAGTAGTTTCATGTCGTATCCGACAACGGGAGGCTTTTAACAGATGACGTCCTGATGTTAGCTTTGCTGCTGCTGTTAGCTGTCCCTGTCAGCTGATGCTTTCTAGACATCGTGATTTCCCAAAACTGAATAAATACTACACATATCAACACAAAACTGCTTTGCTAACTCAGTCATGTTGTAACTAAGATATCTGCTGGAAAGAATATTTTTTTCACGGGCCATTTAGTGAGTTTTTTTTATATGGCGGCGAAAGCTACATGAACGAGCTAACTCTCGTCTGCTGAGTTTCAAAAATGCCAGCTATTTTGTTGCTTTCTGTTGACGTCACATCCCTCCTTGAGTATATCCAATCAGCACCAAGTAATCCCCAAGCCCCAGCCAGGAGTCTTTTGGGGCCNTTTTGCTAGCTCAATCATGTTGTAACTAAGATATCCGCTGGAAAGAATATTTTTTTCACGGGCCATTTAGTTTTACATGGCGGAGAAAGCTATATGAACGAGCTAACTCTCGTCTGCTGAGTTTTAAAAATGCCGGCTATTTTGTTGCTTTCTGTTGACGTCACATCCCTCCTTGAGTATATCCAATCAGCACCAAGTAATCCCCAAGCCCCAGCCAGGAGTCTTTTGGGGCCGTTGTGAGTACCTAGAGGGACTTGCAGGGACTTGTTTAGCCCCCGTAAAAGTTCCGGAACTCTGTCCTTCAGGGGGGGTTCCTGCGGTGGAGACACGCACCAACAGCCCCGGCCCCGTAAAATTACCCCGAAGTTCCTGCGGTGGAAGCGGGCTTAATATAGCTCAATAAAGCTGACCCTAATCAGTTAAAAAGTGCCTTGATCGACCCCAATACTGATCTTTGAGATCGGATCAGGACATCCCTTAATTTAGATCATCCATTCCATTCACTTTCATGACATTTACAAGCAATTTAGGTTGCAACTAGCAGTTAAAAATGCAACATATTTTTTGATTCATACAGAAGCCAAAATGTCGAGTAACACTAAACAAGCCATTCACTCTTGGTGCCTCTTCTGTTTTCAAAATGAAGCAGAGATGAAGCAAGAAGTATTGTGCCAAGCATGAGTTGTAGAGGACTTTCAAAGCATATCCAAAACAATACACAGGCATTTAAAAAGGAAGTGACCTAGGTGTCAGTTTCGGAAACTTGCCTCAAAAATGATAAACATGGCAGTTGACCAATCAAACAACCGTGTTAAGAACAATCCAAAAAGATAAAGCAATCGTTGCCACTGAAATAACAAGCACTGTAGTATTACAATGTGGGACATATGAGAAGTCAACCGTCTTGTATCATTGTCAAGGAACCTTTTGTTCCTGCTGCGTATTAATAAATAAGAGGGGGGAGCCAAAAACCAGCCAGGGTGTGTAGAGTGAGTAAATGAACAAAACACAGCCAGGAACCAGAGAGACATTACGGGAATCTGGAGAACTTGAGTCAAAATACGGCACCAAGCTTTCACAAATTCTGTAAGAAAGAGGCACAGTTAAAACAACAACCTGGAGATGTCAAGTGTTGTGACTTGAAATGTTAATTATAGCTACATCTGGAAGGTGCAGGGACTGTTTTGTTGTAAAATAGGGTTCAAAGCCTATGGTCTTCCTTCTGCAGGCGTCTATGAATCTGGGTCAAAGTGCAAACATAAATGTAGAGCAAATGTCATCATATGGGGAACTGAAACGGCTGAACAAACAGGCCCTGCTGACTGTGCCGCTTTGCTGAGACCAGAGGAAGCTCTCTTTCAACCTGCTAGCAGCCCGAGCCTTATGTAACAGCACTGGCACATCTTCTGTAGCAGTTTCACACTGACAGACAAAATGTTCAATGAATAATCAACCCATTTTCATCAACAGCTACGGCAGATGCCAAGTGATTAGCATCCCTGCCAGTGCTTGTGATATAACCTTGAACCCTGAAGAAGTGCGCTGATAAGAAGGGCCTTGTATCACAGAGTGACGTAACGAGGAGCGGTGTTGGGAATGCAGTAATTAAATTTATAAAACTGAAAGCCCTGCTTTGTAACTGTGGCTTCAAGCTGAACAGAGATGCGACAGCACAGGGTGAACTGAATGGTTTGCAGTGCAGGGTGTTGGGTAACCAGCAGAGACTGTAGCTTGAAACATAAAGAATGTTTAACAGAACAGAAATGGCAGGAAAGCATTTTAACCAATTGTTTTCAAAGCAAAACATTTGTTTGTACAACACTATGCTGCTCTACGCCAAACTCTAACATGAAGAGAAATGTTGTGTTTGTGGTCTACACTATAAGAGTTGAGGTCTTAAAGGATCGACGTTGCAGTAACCTACCTGTCATAGATGAGGCCATCAATTCCCTGCTCTCTCAGCTTCCTTCTGATCTCGTGCTCGTTGTTGTCCTCTCCCCAGCTGAACACCACCAGGCCTTTAGACTGGGCATCCGCGATATAGGACAGGTTTTTTAGCAGCTCCTCCGTGTGGGCACTGATCCCCTAAAGAAGCAAAGTCCAGTGAGAAAAAGTGGTCCTGTTTAATGTTGTTCAACTCAAAATAAAGACAACTTCTTGCCCTCTTGCTCTCGTTTGTATTTTTCAACCTGGACCTTTTTGTCCCATGTTATCTTCCTTCCCATAATGTGTTCAGACACTAAGAATAACAATCTGAGCCTGTCTGTAGCAAAAACAAACACTGCTAGCAGATATAAACTGACAGTGCAGCAACATTGATGCCTGATTCACCCCTGCAGCAGTGAAACTGGCTGGACCAGTTTAAATATAATGTTGTTTCCTTTCATCATCTGTGCACAAATACACAGTAAAGTCTGTGTGTAGTAAACTATAGTAAAGTAAGCTAAATCAGCTCCATATGTGCCTTCAAGAAAACATGTGACGCTGTCAGATTATGCTGCATAAGCTGTCTGGAGTCAGTTTTTGCTCTACTTAGAGGGCCTTAAGACAGCTGACACAGGGCTCTGCTGGCTGACTTGTTTGCTGTGTGGACTGTTGTGACAGCGGTGGTCTACTTTTGTAAGTCTTTTGCTCAAGGGCAATGCAGTGATGCTAAAGAGGAGGGTGCAAAACTCTCTGAAGCCCAGTTCAGGCCAAAAATTTGCAACGAGAGGAAATTGTTTTACAACGCTGCAGAGAAAAGTTGCAGCGGTGTGAACTGGCTGGTCTGAGCTCGACTCAAGCCGGCTGATGGTGTCTCCTGCAACTCAGCTGGTCAAATTGCTGCCGGCTGGTTTTAGAACGTAAAGCACGTCATCTGGTCAGGTAAAAAATGACCACAGACAGTATGTTTAATTGCTGTCGCAGGTGTCAGTTTGTGGGGACGGAAACTGAGTTGGCCCTGGTGGCAAATCTATCATGAATTCAGTCCATCTGATGGTGGTTTTGTTTCAGTTTTTCACTGTTTCATCACTCCTACAAATGCAGCTGTAGCCAGTATCTCACTATCACTATCCTCATTCATATTTTAAGAAGCTGCAAATTATATTCAGCCACAAAATCAGCCTGAAAAGCTGCAAATCAGCAAGCACAGAAAGTTAGTGTATAGAGATGATACACTGGCTACGGTTACATGATGGCTTCTCATTCGGAATGAAATAAATCTGAATGAAATCATTCGGAATTAAAGTCTTTCCAGGTAGTTTACATGGGAAATATTCATTCCGAATGAGGGTTTACATGGGAGATCAGTTCAATCGCCTTTATTGAGGTCTGTGCAAGGTTTGGGGCAGGGAAGGTTTTTGATTGGATAGGGGGCGGGGCGGATGTTACGTGTTTACGTTTACCGGAAGAAAACACTGTAGTCCTCACTCCGGATAACAAGATGCTTGACGACGCCATTCTTAGTGCAATTTTCGGGCTTGTTTTGCTTATATTCTTGAAGCAGCAGTACGACAACAACCTTGTTCTGCTAATGCTTCATCTGTTGAGGAGGAGAAGGGAGGTAGAAGGTCGAAGAAGGGAGGTAGAAGACCATGCTGTGGCGAATGGAAACCGGTGAGTGCAACAAGTCCGACTGCTCTATCTCAGCCCGTTGCTATGCAGCCCGTTGCTATGCGTGCTATATACGTCATCGCGCCAGAAGGGCAAGGAAACAAGCATGCGCAGAAAGACCGGAATGAACTTAAAGAGGAATGAGTGTATACATGCACACAAAATTCTTTCATTTGGAATGACGAACGGAATAAACCACCCCCTTTAATCGGATTTAATTTTCAATCGGAATGACCGTTTTTCAATCGGAATGACCGTTTACATGACCACTTTTAATCGGAATGGCCTTTCATTCCGATTAAAAGTGGAATTAAACTGTGCATGTAAACGTACTGACTGTCTCTTCTAGTTGCATTGGTGTGGACCAGCACGTTTTTATAATGTTGCAGAACGGAGTGTTGCAAGTAGTTGCCTGTTTCAACTTGTCTCATCACAAATCTTTGATCTGAACTGGGCATAAGGTCCCAATCAGACAGAGCGTGTCTGCAAAGCAAACCTTAATGAATAAGTTGACGGTATATGGCGGGGATGAGTGAGGCGTAGGCACTGAGAAGTCAACCAACATTTATATTTATTCACACCATATACCATATTTAAATAGCACAAACTCTGGAAAATTAAGTGGATACATCGTGATAAAGACTTTCTGCAACAGCTGCTTACCAGAATGTTCTCACTCTGAGCAAAACTTATGGCGATCTGAGTGGTCTGGCAGCGGATATCCATCAGCTCAGGATACCTTTCTGAAATTCCCTGTGTCAGGAAGAGGATGGGGTACTTGTTCTGCTTTTGACGCACCCTGAGTGAAACACACAGAAAGATGTAAGAAGCAGTTGAACAGAACCTACTGTATTTAGAAAGATACCCTTTATACACAGCATCTTGACTGTCTTAATAGACGTTTTCATTAAAATCATTAAGAATAATTGCGCTTGGAATCTGTCATGAGATTCAGAGAAGATTTTCAATTGTCCTTTTTCATATGCAGTTTCTGTAGCCTCATCAAATCCGAGCATACTTTATCCTCAGACGCTAACTGTGCTTACATGGTGCAGACATCTGGGTCGAAGCAGGAGAAGACGATGCGTCTTTTTCCGCCTTTTTGCAGAACACAAGACAGGACGATGTCGAGGAAGGTATTCATGTTGAAGTAGGTTGACAGGTTGCCATCCCATGACCCGTCCTGTCAATAAAAAGCATAAATCGTAAATGTGTTTTTGCATTATGCTGTATTAGGTGTTAGTGAGTCATAATAAAAAAGCTAAACCTTATTCTACTGGAGATCCCCAAGGATGCTTATTGAGGGAATGATTAGGCTATTGACCCTGTTGACACAGTGTACCCACCTTCATCTGGGAGATCCATTTGAGCTCGATGTTGAAGCCCACTTGCTCAGGAACAGCTTGGAAGATCTGTAGAAGATGTATGAAGGATGCTGTTCATTTTACTGTGACAAAAACTGTGCTAATGTAGTTACAATGACAAGAAGTAGGTAATAACTGATAAATAACCAAACCATGCATCATCAATACATGTTCCTAGTTTTTATCTATAGGTTTGTGAAGGTGAGGGTCGCACTGCTCATGAAGCTCACACACTGATTAGATAAGCTATTTAATAATGGTCATAAAGTCATTCACCTGTGAGAGGGAGGGGAATGGCTGATGCTCATCGATTTCTTCTTCATCGTCCAGCAGATCTGAGCAACAAGCCAAACAGATGACTGTTAATGCACATGACACAAATGATCTGCTGACTAATTTATGCGTTCAGCTTACATAACTGTGCTGTTATGTAATACATACAAAGTGGCCTCTGATCTAAACAAAGTCACGCCAGCCTTTTGATCTACAGTTTGTATCAGCGTTAACTGTACGCAACAACACCAGGGCTTGACAGTAATGATTGCCAGTTGCCATTGGGTTGCAAATAGGGACAGAAAACAGCAGAAACATGCACCCCACAGTAATATTTGTTGCATTAGTGATATTTAAATATTGCTGTTTTAGACAGAACCTGAACCAGACATTATAAAACTTTTGTATCATGTTCTGAAAAATGAGGCACCTTTTACATCCTTATCTCATCTACTGGTTCACAAACTACAAATCTGGTTACTGCAATAGACCTTTTATACTTTCTTCGATGTCACATGTCATTAATAATCTGACATATGAATGCATAATATCTCAATTACTCAAAATATAAGCTGATAAAAATGGCAACCATATTTTCAGTTTCAGCAACCAAAAGCCGAAGCCTGGTTATCAGACAGACAACTGCTTTTAAAAGTTATTGTTGGGCCTTGGACACAAATGCAAGCACACTGGTTTTCAACAGGTCAAGCCACTTTAAAAAAATCCTGGTGAAAGAAGACAAACAAAAGCTGCATACCTTTGTCATCGTGTTCTTTCATCGCAGTGGCATGGGCCAGCTGTGCAACAAAACAAAGCATAAACACATAATTACATTTCAACACATTTGTTTCAGTTACAGGTTGTAACAATAAATTGGTTGCAGTGCCACATATGTACAGTTTTAATATGTCATCATGATAACAGTCGAAACACTTAATGGCATTCTGTCCAGTTGTAATTTAAGGGAACTCCCCTAATGCGATAATGCTCTCCCCACTTAGAAGGCGCTAATCCCACAAATGTGCCATTGGCTGATGGAAGACACAGTTACGCAGCTGCTACTCTGCAGTTCCCGTGTGTGTCTGTGCAACTATAAATAATTTCTAGGAGAGGATTTGTTCAATGTGAATTAATTAATTTGGAACACGCAAACCTCCTGACTGTGGAGGAACAATGAAGCAACTGACACTATGACGACTCACAACAGGAGCTCAGGTCATTCATCTGAAGGATAAAAGTCGATCTCAACTTGGGTCTTATTTACAGTTTTGGCCATCACTCCATGTTTTTACCTTGAGAAGCTGCAGCTGATCAAATGTCAAGTCTTTAACTGGCACCTCAAAGAGCTCCAGAGAGGTCTTGTCATTTTTCTGTTGAGGGGACAGAAAGAATTTAATTACTTTTCTTAAGTAGTGACACACATTTGTGTATGCTCACCATTTTTCTAAATGTATATTAATCAAGTCATGATTAGTTAATGGAAAAAAAATACCAACAGAGAAATACACCATTTCAGATTAAACACTTACATAAGTCCATTATCAAGTACAACACGCCTTTCTTTTACCTTCTTGGTGGAGATGCAGCACGTCAGGTCGTGGTATACGATGGGAACACTGTCCTTGGAGAGGTGTACATCAAACTCTACATAGGCTGCACCCTGCAATAAGCAATGTACACGTAATTAAGGCAAAGGTAATGTTAAATATATAATCATGGTCAAAAGTAAATATTTATTTATTCTTTTTATGATATGCGTAACTTACATGTGTGGCAGCACTTTTAAACGAGGCTATTGTGTTCTCCCTGACTCTTTGGTGCCTGTAAAACACAAACCAAACACAATTTGTGGACAGATGCAAATGCAAATATGCAGACATAGTCAGTGGGGAAATCATAGAGTTGGCTCCGTTTTTACTTTTGCCAGTAGGTCCAGGTTTGATTTAATGAAAACCGGCTGAACTGGCATTTGCCAATACATAACATTATGGCAAACTGAAAAGTAGCAGATGCCTCACAGTGCTGAATCTAACTGAAAGTGCGTAAGTAACAAGCAATATGATAACGTGATTAATATCATACGCCGACTATATTTCTAAATGGACTAAGCTGTGCGCAATTTACTGCCAAGCTGAGGTGGTGTCGGCAACATGACGATCAAATTTTAGAAGAGGTGGGAGAGCGGTGCACACTGTTTGTTTACTTGAACGTTCATGTGTTCTTTGGGGTGACGAGAAGAGACATGGCAGAATAGGTCTCTCTCAAAATAAAAAAAACTGCACCACCATGAAAACATTTTTGTTTTAAAGCCAACAAAAGAGGAGTCCTAACTGGCTGCAGGCTCCATTTTAAACTGAACCTAAGTTGGATGCCCTGTTGCTATTTATACCTGTGCTCACTGTGAAAGTGCTGCAATGGACTAGGAATGGCTGATTCATGAAGTTAAAATGAGGAATTATCTGCACTTCACTTCCTTCATTCACCACAAAAACCTAAACACAGTTGCAGCTGGCTAGAGGGAGATCGCTGGGGAGCTGTAAGTTTCTGCTCAGGTAAATGACCATCGCTAAAAACAAGCAAGGCCTACGTTACTTGCAGTTTCCATGTCATCACATAAGTGCATATTTAATGGATTCAGTGTGGACAGAGAGCTCCGATGTTACGCAACAGTCAGATGCTAGATTGTTGTTGGGACATGGTGTTATTATGTTCCACTAGTCAAGTGGGACACCTGATAAAATCGGTCCAGTCCGGTGTTTGGCTTCATGTCAAACCAGTCTGAATTTTTTTTGGCCCAAACCAAACAAATCGCAATATATGTTACGAAAATACATAGCGTATCGCAAAACATAGAAAATCACAATATTGTTTGTGACGAATGTATCGTGATAATATTGCATCGTGGAGCTTCTGAGGAGGGCCCCACTATTAACTATTTATGTGTGTGTTCCATGCGAGGCACTCTATCCTGTCCAAGTCAGAGAAACTTGTTATGACTCACTTCGCTGCGTGTGTGCTGCCAGATCCTCTGTGGCCCACATCCAGAGTACTCCTTTTCTTCCAGTACTTGGTGAAAGAGGAGCTCATGTCACACTGCAGCCCCTTGATGGGCCGGATCACCAGGTAATCCACTAGAACAAAGAACAAAGGTGTTCAACAGGTATTTCCTTGTGCAGAGCATTGTGTGAACTATAAATGTGAGACAGTTCCTCCCTTCCTTTTGTTTTGTCTGCTAATTGTCAGCCAATGTGGATTTCATTTGTGCAATATCTCACCTCTGACTTTCCCGATAGTCTGTCTGGAATTTCGACCCATTATCGGAAGTGTGGCGACTCCGTTGTCCTTACCGCTCTCCAAGAAAGATGAGGAGAGGAGGCAAGCTGTGCCAACGAATCCGGGATGAGCGTCCCCCTGGACTACGTGCTCACCCAGATCCTCCTGTAAACGGACATAAGAACGTTTTACAATTCTGACCAAAGGAAAACAAATCTAATCATGATGCCTGATGTTAGTCAAGAATACTACTTTTATTGCTTATCAAATATGACCTCAAAGAACTCAAAGGTGAGCTCCAGGTTGTCTGGGTCCATGGTGTGGATGATGTACTCAGTCCACTGCGAGGGCTCCAGTGCATACCCACACTCAGGCTGCGAGTGGCGTGACCTATAGCGGTTGGCACTGATCATACTGATCTCCAGAGTTGTGGTCATCTTATGCCAAGTTGAGGGACTGAGCTCTTCTTCCTCGTCATCTCCCTCCTCCTCATAGCCCTCTAATGTCAACTTAATTCTGTATAGGTGGGTTTAATACACAATTAGGTAAATACACAGAGATGGGAAAACTGAACGTCACATATATTATTAAAAAAAAAGCATCAAACCATCAGTAAAAGGTCAAATTATGTTTTACTTTCAGCTTCTCCTATTATACCTCTGTGCACAGGATTTCTGTTACACTTATGTAACAGGTAGGGTAATAGATCCGTCTCATGTCACTTTCAAGAAGAACTTTCTCCGAGTGGTGTTAAATTCTGCCTCGGGGTCAAACCTACCTGAAGCGAGACTTCTTGAATTTCTTCTTAGTGATGGACACCGGAGGCGTCTTGGAAAAGTGTAGACGCAGGCGAATCTCTGTCTGGCACGTGAGCCACCCAGAGTCTACACAATTCACCCCATCTATAAAAAAGGAAGATGAAAGCAGTAAGCATGTGATGACAGTGAATATTCACTTTGTTTCCCATAACTGCTGACCAGAAAACTGGTTCCAGCAACAAAAGCAGGGAGGAGACAAATGACCTCAAATGCTCTGCTGCACAAAGCAGAGGAAGTGACTGCAGTGTGGTCTGTAGGGAATTTCTATTCCCCAGAAGGGTTAAGCACATTAGCAAGCATTTCAGTTTTACAGCATTTCTATCTCATGAATATTTTAAATGCTGTAAACCTACATAAAGTAATTAAGGAGAGTTTAGATCTTTTGAAGTGGGGTTATGTGAGGTACTTATTCATAATCACTAGGCCCGTTTCCACTGAAGAAGTTCCTGGTACTATTTGGGGGGCAGGAACTACTACAGGAACGTCCTCTCGTTCGGCCCTCTCAACCGCTGTGTCTCCACTGAGAGAGCGGAGTACGAGGAAGGTTCCTGTAAAGTTACAGGCTGCCTCTGGATGTGACGTAATCGTTGCACGACCATTTTGACCGGGGCGACATAGGGACACCGTTAGCCGATAGCGGTGTCTGTAATAACTCACTAAATGGCCTGTGAAAAAAATATTTTTTCCAGCGGATGTCTTAGTTACAACATGATTGAGCTAACTGGAGTAGTTTCATGTCGTATCCGACAACGGGAGGCTTTTAACAGATGACGTCCTGATGTTAGCTTTGTTGCTGCTGTTAGCTGATGCTGTTGCTGCTGTTAGCTGATGCTTTCTAGACATCGTGATTTCCCAAAACTGAATAAATACCACACATATCAACACAAAACTGCTTTGCTAGCTCAATCATGTTGTAACTAAGATATCCGCTGGAAAGAATATTTTTTTCACGCGCCATTTAGTGAGTTTTTTTACATGACGGCGGAAGCTATATGAACGAGCTAACCCTCGTCTGCTGAGTTTTAAAAATGCCGGCTATTTTGTTGCTTTCTGTTGATGTCACATCCTGCCTTGAATATATCCAATCAGCACCAAGTAAACCCCAAGCCCCAGCCAGGAGTCTCTCGGGGCCGTTCTGAGTACCTAACCCGAGGCAGGGACTTGTTTAGCCCCTGTAAAAGTTCCGGAACTCTGTCCTGGGGTGGTTCCTGCGGTGGAGACATGCACCAACGGCCCCGGCCCCGTAAAATTACCCCGAAGTTCCTACGGTGGAAACGGGCCTACTGTGTTGCATACAGTAGCTGCTGGTGAGTACGACCCCAGTTTGGAGAAGCAGGCAGGAGTACTGACAAGAAAACTACGCAATGTAAGTATTTAGCTATGCAAAAAAAGTGCTGCAGACAACCCATTTAGACAGGGTAGCCATTTACAATTTCAGTTCCCCATCTATGCTCTCGTCAAAGCCACCAGACTCCACTGACAAAAACAGTCAGTATGTTTACATGACATTAGAGAAAATCAATTTGTATTAGTCCAACTTAAGCTGGACTTTTATAATACATGTAATCACGTCAGTCTGACTGACATGGTAATTAATCAAACGGATGAAATGCAGAGCCATGAAGTTGTCCTGCATGGTACCAGTTAGCTGCTAGCTGACCGTAGCTAACTTGTTTGTCTGTGACGTAATAAGTCACCCGGAAAAAGGTCCAATACTAACAAGCTGAAAGGGGGCAGCGTAGTGAAGTTGGACATACTTTGGTTAATTAATCAATCCCCCTCCCGTGCTTATACGCTAGGACAAGGACAGAAGTCTGATTAAACAGCCTAGTCGAGCTATAACCGCACTGACTGATTTTAAATTGCTGAACACGGGAGGTGCTGGTCTACCACTGCCTCAATCAGTTACTTAGTTTGTGTTATTGTGTGACTTTTGAGAGTCCGAACGCTTTAAAGATGCTGAAGTTACACGATAACACAAACAAACTGATGGAGGCAGCGGTACACCAGCTGCTCCTGTGTTCAGTTTGGCAAAATTATGACAGCAAGGTAAAGTGGTGAAAATATTCTTAACAAGTGTACAATTAAACTGATATTGTTTTTTTTAAGGTGGCTAAAATACGCTTTGCTGCTTAGCATTGCTTAGCTTCTGTGTCAGTACTCCTGCCTGCTTCTCCAAACTGGAAGTGTGCCAACCGACATCTACTGTAAGTAGGACATGGACTCTGGAAAGTACGTCATACAACCCCACTTCAAAAGATCTAAGAGCGTGCCTTACTTATAAGTTTTTGTGTTAGTAGTTAGTGGTGGCTTCGTAGTATTTGTTTTTCATCCAACTTACTGTGAATTCCAAACTGTCCGTCGTCAATATTCTGGTGTGACGCTGCAACAAAGGTAGAGCACATTAGGAACAGGATGGAGGAACATCAACAGTACAAAGGTTGAGGTCAGATCAAACCAGAGCACTTCCTGTGTACAAAGAGTTCAAACCTCTATTTGAACTCTCAAAAACAAGATGCTGCTCTGATTTGATTTGCCTCAACCTCAAGAGTCACCTGAGCAACAAAATATATTTGATACAAAAAAACAAAAAAAAAACAAAAACAACTTAAACTACGACACTGAGCATGACTGTGTCATTGATGCTACTTTAGCAGGATGTTTATGAAAGTGCTCAAACAAAACACATCTGCATTGCATATAAAAACAAACAGCATGTTTGTAACAAATTTTTATTCTACGGGGAAAAAATGAGAAGGAAGAAAAAAAACTAGGATGGGGTGACAGGCTGGGGTCAAAGAGGACATCAGGTTGCAAATATGGTTGCGACTATTCTTCCCATCAAGCTCATTTTGAATGTGCTTTGTCGGTGTTAGGTCGACACAATGGGGATTTAACTGGAGAGGTCTACAGTATCAGGCCATGACATCTACTGCTGCACTGCAGTGTTTCCTCTATGGCTATAGATTATTCCAGTAAGAGCTGCCCCTGATCACTGCCAAATAATACACACAGCCAAATAAGCAAGAGGCTACCAGTAAATTACAGACAATGTTTGAGGAGGAGACACTGCAGTCAGGTATTGTTATGTTAATTCTGACATGTACACGTTGCCCAAAAGAACATACCAAAAGTCCTATTTGACTAACCCTGAAATACTAACCTTCTTCATCAGTGTGATAAGCAAGAACTGACCTATATTAGTGTTGATGGGCAACTGTTAACATATAGTGCGAGGGCAGGGAATGGGAAGTCTAAAGGGGGGTTTGAGTATGACACACTTTACCAAACCCAACCACACCAGGCACCGTTTGTTTTTTTTGTGGTTCTATACCTGTGGGGCTCATCGTGCGGGGTTGGTGATGGGTCTCCCACATTTTGACTATCACTTGACAGGGACCACCTGCACTCTGCAATTCCAATGTTTGGTACAATGTTAGGGTTTCAGATCAGATACATTGAACTACTTTTCAGTCTGGTCTCAAAAGCTGCCGTTGGACCAGAATGTGAGAAAGGAATTAGAGCTGGTATAGTCACCAATCCCCAGCTGGGGCAGTCAGCCACCATGGGTTGAAATCTGTAAAGTGGATTTGTTAGTGAAGAAAAAAAAAAAACATTTCTTAAGTGACACATAAAGCTGCTCTCTTTATCTGTAATAAAGCCATCATTAGCTATAGTAACAACATGTTTGTAGCATCACATTTCCACCTTCGTAATTTATAACCCCAATCCCAAAAAAGTAGGACTCTGTGTTAAATCAAAACAGAATGCAATGATTTGACTTTTAGACTTGAATATAGTGCAAAGACAAGATATTTAATGTTTAAACTGCTAAACCTAAACGTTTTTGCAAATATACACTCATTCTGAATTTGACGCCTGCAACACGTTCCAAAAAAGTTGGGACACGAGTAACAAAAGACTGAGAGAGTTGTGGAATGGTCAAAAAACAGCTTGAACATTCCAGAGGCAAACAGGTTAGCTGATAACACGTGATAGTATCATGATTGGGTATGATTGGGCACACAAGCAAGGATGGTGGGTGGTTCTCCACTTTGTGACAAACTATGTGGGCAAATAGTCCAATGGTTTCCAAATGTTTCACAACGCACAGCTGCAAGGAATTTAGGGATTTCGCCATCTAAAATTTATAAAAGATTCAGAAAATCTAGAGAAATCGTTGCATGTCAGGGGCAAGGGTGAAAACCAACACTGAATGGCCGTGACCTTTGATCACTCAGGTGGCACTGCGTTAAAAACGAATATGACAAACAATGTTAATATATGCGCTTGGGAAAACCTTGAAAAACCATTGTCAGTAAACACAGTTTGTTGGTGCGTCTACAAATGCACGTTGAGACTCGTCCATGCAAAGTAATCAACAACATCCAGAAACACCGCTGCCTTCTCCAGGCGGAGCTCGTCTGAGATGGACTAACACAAAGTGGAAAAGTGTGCTGTGTTCTCGCGAGTTCACATCATATGGCGACAGAGAACCCAGACTGTTGAGCTAGTAGGGTCATATATCAAACAACAATGGAGGATTTCACTTTCAAAACTTTAACAATTACTGTCCTCATTTCTTAAACGCTCTTATGAGTGTTGTTGAAAGAAAAGGTGATGTAACACAGTGAATACAATGATTTTTTTGGAGCATGTTGCAGGCATTTAAGTCAGACTAAGAGTATATTTACAAAACCGATAAACTTAATCAATTCTGAATATCAAATATTGTGGTTTTGTACTGTATTCAACTGAATATAGGTCAAAAAGGATTTGCAAATCATTGCACTCTGTTTTTACATACATGATTACACAGGATCCCAGCTATTTTTGACTTGTTGATGTACTTATATATTCATTATGGAGCTAAAGACAATATCAGAGTGCAGAAAACACACCCAGCAGCACTAAAGCTTTTCCACAGCCGTGGCAGTAACTCAGATTCCAAGCATGACTTAAGCTGCATGAACAGATAGCCAAGTTTCACCACACAGGAGCTTTAAGCCAATGAAATGCACAATCTAAGTTTTTCATAAACAAAAAAAAAAAAAAGTGCAAACACAAGGTTAGACAAGTCAGAGCAGGTCGTTAATCTCACGAAATGTGAGCCCCACCCTTGACATAGAAAATAATACGACACCCGTACTAGGAGAGAATAAACACAGAGAGCTAGATAACACAACCTTTCCAGATAAATGGTTGGCACATTCTCTTTCTCTTTGCTTCTAGGAAATTTGTATTCTTGTTATGTTGTGTACAGCTTCTGTATAAACAGGCGGCTTAGCAGAGGTCAGAAGTAATAACTTAATATTTTTTATTTATTTATTTTCTTCAGTGTAGTTAAGTTGTTTAATCAATGAAAGAAACTACACTTAAACTAAATAAAATGTTCACATGCTTAGATAAGAATAACCCTTTCAAAGTCAGTTAAAAAAACAAACCAGGAGAACTCTTATTCCCTGTCCTGCTGATGAGCTGCAGCAGGAGAGGTGTGACTTAACATAGAACCTGAAATCATCACAAATCATTCAAAATAGACTTTAGCTTTGAATTTAACAATGCGCATCTTTAGCCAATGTTGCTTTCAAAAGACTATCTGTGACAGCAACGAGCAATTTAATTTGTAATTTTAATACCTCTATAAAGACAGGAGACTCTACTCACCTTTGACTCCAGAAAGAAGCCTTTGAGATAGCGGTACTTGGACACAACTCCTTTAGGCACAGCAACAGTTGTAGTCCACGTATTTCTGTCAAGGAGTCAACTTATACATTAATATTTCACACAGACAAAAAAACAAGAAAAGCATTTCACCTTCTGTCTGACAGAGAAAGCCAAATACGTTTGACATTACACATTAAGTTTAACCTACCCATCGTTACCGACAGGATGCAAGGTCACAGCTTTTTGATGGCTCCAGCATCCCAGGGCATCGCAGCTACCAACAACTGCAATCACCTCCCCTGGAAATGTTTAAATGGACATGTTACCTGATGTAACTTCGGCAGAAACAAATATGACTAACAGTGACGGCTGCTTTGTGAAGTTTTCTTAGACAATGAAATGTTGACACGGCCTGTAAAAACATCCTTCATGTTAATTCATGTGAAGCGTGCAAACTTGTGTTTTTTTCTAGGAGCTTCACACATCACAACTCAAACAGTGATTTAAATATCTAAGGAAAGCCTGTGTAATCTTTTAGCAGTGCTGCACCTCACAAACAGATAGCCTGTGTAAAAGAAAAGCAAAAATGAATAAATAAGTATTGCAACACATCCTACTACATGGCAACCTCTAAATGTAGGTTAAAGATTATGTAGCTCCACGTGCCTAGTCTGACCCTTTATCTTTAGCTGTGTCTACAGTCAAGTTTATCAGCCATACCTGGGTTTGTTTCTCCTCTGACAACCAACGTCACCTGAGTGGTCTCCATTGTTGACACAGGCACAAAGACTGGCGGCATAAACAAGCTGAAAGACATCAACGGATGTTAAATACAGGGTTTTACATCATTACTTCACATCCAGTAACAATTGCAGCGATACTCAGGATTTGCCTATGGTCCTGTGCCAAGACTGACTCATGGCTGTTTTGATAAATATTTAAATCTTTGGTATCAAGATCATGTCAGCTGAGAGGTAACGTTATGCTAGCTAACCTGTCTTACTGGCTGCTGTCCAAAGCATAACATAAAGAAGCACCGTTAAGTATATAACGTTATCCGTTAGTTGTGCTTCTACTGAACTAGCTAACGTTCAGTGAATAGCAACATAGGTACACTTCAAACACAGCTAAAGCGACAAAAGCTAACGTTACAACCACGACAGCTACCTTCTTTTTGATTTTGGCAGCTACCAGTTTGAGTCGACCCTTGGCAGCCTTCAAGGAGATGGTTCACAGTGAGCCGGGGTCGCCTATCCAGCTGAGACGCTCCGGTCTAAAAGCGAAAGCATATTTGACCCGCCCGATTCACCGCTACCGCTACCGACACAAAGCTAGACATTATGTTAGCTAAAGAAAATATTACGAGTACAAAAACAACGCCTGGCGTTACGCAGTCCTGGCGACGATGTAACTATGCTACTATCAAAGATATTTAACGCTAGATAACGTGGCCATGTCCGGCGAGGTTAGACAATAGTCCACCGCTTCAGGGCTAGCAAACAACACAACAAGTATCAAGCTAGTTAAACTGGAGGACAGGACTTCCGGTGTGTACTTTCAAAGTAAAACATGTATAGCTCAACACGCAGAGTTGAAATGGTAACTCGTCTAAAGAATCATTTTGAGGCAAGTGTGGATTGAAATCATTCTTAATAAGTATTAGATAATTTATAATGTTTAAAAATACATTAATATAACCTACACTACACAGAAAAATGAGACCTGGTATCACTGCGGTGCATTCATATACGATAAAAATATTCAATATGAAATTCACAGTAAACATTTGGTTGACTTTTGCAGTCTGTCATATTTGGCACAGCAAGTGCTGAGGCAATAAAGCTCCATTGCCATAGCTGACAATTGGTATACCCTCCTGAGACCCAAACTTTTGTTTGGTACGCATTTTTAATTTCTCCTCGCTATATGGGATTGGTGGGACCTGGTTAGTAAAAACTAAACTTTCACAGCGATAATAAAATCCCAGTGTCCTCAAACAAGACAATAACCAATTCTCAATGTCCTTAAACGAGTACTTTCTAATTACAGCGTCTTAGATTGTTACTGTTGCAAAAATTGGTAAAAATTTGTCGGGCATATCAAACTACAAACGTTATCAATCATAAATAAGTTTCAACCATAAATTTTAATCAGGTTTTGGACCTTGTCCATTTTCGTTTCGGGATCGGCCTCAGACTGGCCCAGCAGAGATGGCTGCCAATCTTGTTTTAACATGGATTGGTGTATTCTGGGTTTACTACCACTAGATGGTACAAAAAAGTGTCCACAAACGAGGACAACAGGCCAAAGTTTAGCAAAATGAAGAACAAGGTCCAGTAAACCCAAAATGTGATGTCCTCATATGGGGTTTAAAGACTGATTCTGCTAGTCTTTAAACTACATATCTTCAAATTTGATAATTTTACAAAACATAATCTTCTGAGCTGGGAAAACCTATAACATGTAAACATATGTCTCATCTTTAAAATTATTCATGGCATGGCTCTTCTTCTGCTCAGCTGCTTTGTTGGTCAAACGAGAAAATACCAGTCAGGTTACAAACAGAAAGAGAGAAAGCTGAATCTGAGAAAATCTGCTTTGAATCAATCTGCCCCTTGCAGCACATGAATGGAAAACTGTACCAGCCCACATCAGAGAACTCTCGACTAACAGGTCCTTCTATTGAACACGGCTTGTAACAACAAAACTGTCACCACTGGTCTGGATGCCTTATCCTTAGGCAAATGTCTGGAAAAACTTGTATACTGCTAGGTTTCTCTATAACCTCAGTGCTGCTGTTGTCTTGTTACTCATATTTGCCTTTGCTTATGTCTATTGCCACGAAGCTGAAATGTAATTTAAAATGTTCTGTATTGTTTGTTTATGCTTTGTTGAACTGTACTTTATTCTGTGATTCTTTTTTAAGATTTACAGTTTTTATGGAGGTAAATAAAAAATCATTAAGTAGGATGACGACAGTATTGTTCAAATCTTCAATGTCTTTCAGATACTACATGTATTCCACATACTTGTTTACCTTTACTGGTGTAGTGCATTATTACATATATTTACAGAAGATATTTCTCCAATATGTTCTTCCTGTAAAAGAGAAATTGAATCCACCATCAGTGCACATATTCTCAAGAATTCTGGGTTGAAGCTTCTCTGTTAATTTATCTACATTTTAAGAGATTGAAACCAACGTTAGAGGACACGGACTTGTTCCTAAATTATAATACAGGCTCACAATCTACTGACAGTGTACTTAAGCTTATATGCCTGGTTGGCAAGTATCACATCCATAAAGCTAGAGCACTTCAGATCACGCCAAATATCTGTCTGTTTCATGTTGAACTACAACATCTCTTTGACTCTATTTCTACGATAACACAGAATAAAAAAAGCTATTATGACCTGTCAAATAATTAGTAAAATTATATCTAATAAAAAACAAAGGTGTATTATATTGAAGTTTTCATCGCCCTCTATCATTTAATGTATGCATTAATTCATGTTTTATGTTCTATTCTTTCGTTATGTTTGAGTTTGTTGTTTGACAATGTTGAAATGAGAATTTTTCAGTGTTTTAAAAGTAGTAAAAAAGTATAGTTTGAAAGAGTATTTAGACGTTACAAGTATTTAGGTGTTGCAAAAAACAATATGCAGATATCATTAATGAAGAAACATAATGAGATTCTTTATTTTATTTTTATTATTATTATTATTATTAATATATGTTTAATACGATATACAGTTTCTTTTTGGCGGCAAATATAAAATATTACATGGTTTAAACTGAACTGAACATCTTTAAAATACAGTACTTCAATATATATTTTAAATACTTCGTTTTCCTTTACTACTATTTAACGCTTTTATTTTGAATGTGTCATTTCCATGTATTCTGGCTTCCGCCTGCCACTTGACGCAGCTGGCTGGCTCATACCGCCTTGTTCTGGTTCTGATCCGCCGCGTGCACTGACTGTATATTTACAGTCTGTGGCGTGTCACTATGCTGCATTAACGTACCCTCGGAAGCACCGTGATTACGAGCTGAATGCCAATACTCGAAGTGGTTAAAAAACACCAAAGTCGAACCTTATTTTAAAATATTATGCTACCAAGATTTTGGTCTGATAAGTGGGACAAATTACGATAAAAGCGACGCAATTAAAAACTTTTGGCGAAATTGTTTGCAACAAACATCATAGTTTGTGTGTCTATTACCGCACTACACTGTAATTGTGTGTAAACTGTTGGAGTAAAACAACAGTCGACCAAAATGAGTTGAAAATTATTGATTAAAAATATCAAAATAATTCGCTTTAAGCTAACATACAACGCTGGAGTTTACGAGGTGTTTACAACGCTGCATCAGCCAGCTTGTGTATGTTTACTGTACATTGGAAAACTGTAAACGGACCAAATAAAGTGGAGAAAAATACACGGTAGAGAAAATGAGTTCGCTTGGCATTGATAAAAAAGGGAACCCGAGAAATATGAAAACAAAACCAGTGTACATACCGTCAGAAGAAATCGATACACGTCCTAATTTCCGGTAAAAAAAATATGAGTATGAAAAGAGGAGGCTGCAGCGGTGCTTTAAGTAGGAGGGAATGTTATCGAAGCCACGTCTATCACAGTGTCCCTGAATGGGTCCCTATATGTGCAATAACAGAGGCCTACTTCAGGAAAGACCTTTTTATGAGTGTCCACTTGCACAGCTGAAATGTAAATACTTTTAATCAGCTATAAGACGCTGGTGGACAAAAAACAAATTATTATTTTGAATTATTCGTCTGACTGGGACAGACAGGGATGAGCTGACGTCTGTACAGTAACTCACGTGTCTACAGGCTTATCTGACATCACCACCTTCACTTTCACTCATGACTTCACATTCACATACACACTACTCTAAGATAAATATACTTATTATTATTATTATTATTATTATTATTACACACTGCTATGTAAAAAATAACTAAATAATAATAATAATAATAATTCCATAAACTAATTAAATAAAATTCACAAAACAGAGGAAAATGAAAAAATACAATAAAAATATTATTGTCATCATTATTATCTATTAAATGTATTGTATTTATTTCTAACAAGAACAGGCACATATGAGAAATCAACACAAACAACTTAGCTAACAACCAATAATAATAATAAACAATAAGGCAAAGCGGTTTGTGCAAATATGCAAATTTCTCCTTTGTCTTGTTTTCGTACTGCACCCTTGATGACCTTTGGCTTTTCATTTCCTTTTTCTCCTCTCTGCCCTTACCTTATTTTATTGCCTCTGGGTGGAGACATGGTGGTGATGCCTTGGTAGAGCTGCCACTGCCAGTAGAGCTGTGGGGATTAAAATATTACTCCATCGTTTTCACAGACAAAAAAAATCATTTAAATAATGTTTAAAGCAAAAAGGGCAAATATTTGCTGGTCTCGTGCTTTCTGAATGTGAGAATTTGATGCTTTTCTTTGTCATACATGATAAAAAATTTAATACTTTTGGATTTTTTTTGGACTGTTGGTCCATAATGTGGAGGCTTATCTTTTAGGCTTATCTGACATGACTAATGCTTCTGTTTATTGTAATGAGGTCAGTGATTTCTTTTAAAGCCTTTCTTAAAACATACCTTTATTGGAGAGCGTTTCCTGATTTTACTTGAGTTTAAAGTGTCTTTTATTTCCTCCTTTTTATATATTAAAGTGTTTTTATCAGTTCTTCTGAAAGTTGTTTTTATGCCTCGTCTGTTTTAATTATTGACATGTAAAGCACTCTGTAACTCTGTTTTAAAAGGGCTCTAAAAATAAAGATTATTGTTATTATTATAATGTTTTTTTTTCAGTTGCCAAGGTGTTGAAGTCCCGCAGGTCTGTGCACTTTATCAGATTATATTTATTTGTCTTTAATGTTTTCTCTATGTTCATGTGTTGTTTTTTTGTTTTGTCCCATTTCTCCCCATTTTTTCCCAAGAAACATTTTTCTATTATATTATTCCTATTACATTTAATCTTTTTGCTGTGATTGCCTGTTAACCATTTGGAGCTGTGTATGTGGCATGTCCAGAAATAGATGTTGTTGTTATGGTTTTGCCCTGAGATTTACCACAAGCTTGACTTTAATGACGACATGTTTGACCTGTTTTTGTTAAGACTCTTTGAATTATATTATTCAGTGTATATATTGCTGTTGTTATTTGTCTCATAATTATTATCTTTGATGGAGGGAGGTTTCTTCTGTGGGACTGATTGCGATGATAGTCTCTGATTGACCTCACCTGAGGAGGGGTTATCTATATATGTTTTAAATGTTCTTTTGTCCTTTAATATACTTGATGAAGATCTGAGGAGGGAAACATCATGTGCTTAACAGAGTTTTTTCCAAGTATAGGACAGTGTGTTTGTGTGTGAATTCTCTTCTGTTGTCTTTTGCACACATACTATTTAAAGATGACCCCTTGGTGTCTGTAAAATCACACAGTGCTTGTTCCACTATTATC